TGCCTGAGCCTCCGCAGTGTTGGGATCACAGCTGTGCACTACCATGCCCGGCCGAGTTCACTCTGTTATTGTGAGTGTGAAATGCGGCACAGGCTGCTTCCACTTTTACTGCCTTGTATTTGCAGCTCTCAAGAAACGCCTGTGCTCAGACATTGGCACCTCTGCCTGCGGCTTGCAGTTCCCTAAACACGTGTCTGAAGGGAACCAAGGTCTCTCTTCAGTATCTCCTTGGAGAATCTGAGAGTAAGAAAAGGAAGGTGACCATTCTTTGAGGAGAACAATGATTTTGAATGAACCTCCGTGCTCATGAGAGTTTGTCAAGGGGAAAAAGGCACCAGTACCTTATTTATTTGGTCAGCTTCTTTAAGACTGTTTTTAAAATCCTTATTCTAAGGAGATCAACTAAATGATTATTAAATCAGTGCTTTTAATTCCTGCTCCTTCTCTCAGCACATTTATTATATCCTAGTCTGCATGTTTTGAAATATTTTTGCTTTTCAGCAGGAGCCTTAGGCTTACGTGGAGCTTTAGGAATCTCACGCAGAGCACCTCGGTCATATGCGTGAAGCAAGCAGAAGCTCTTTTTTATCCATTCCTCGGTTGATGGGCATTTGGGTTGTTTCCAAGATCTAGCTATTACAGATTGTGCTACTATAAACATGGGCGCACATATATCACTGTGGTACGATGTTTTTAATATCCAGAAGGGGAATAGCTGGGTCAAAGGGGATCTCCAATCCTAGTTTTTTGAGGAATCTCCACATGGATTTCCACAGTGGTTGCACCAGTCTACACTCCCAACAGTGAAGAAGTATTCCTTTTTCCCCACAGCCCCCCAGCATTTGTTATTGATTGATTTCCTGATAATAGCCATTCTTTTTGGGGTGAGATGGAATCTCAGTGTTGTTTTAATTTGCATCTCTCACTGACCAGTGATGTTGAACATTTTTTCATATATTCATTTGCTGTTGGTATTTCTTCTTCTGAGAAGTGTGTATTCATCTCAAGATGCCCACTTTTGTTTTTTTTGTTTTTTGGTTTTTCCTCTGGTACCGGGAACCGAACTCACGACCTTGCGCTTGCCAGGCAGACGCTTTGCCGGTGAGCTAAATCCCCAGCCCCCCCCCCTTTTTTTTTTTAAGATGCCCACTTTTGGATTGGGTCTTTAAATTTGGGATGCCTGATTTTTTTTTTTGAGTTCTTTATGTTCTCGATAGTAATCTTTTGTCAGAGTAACAGCTGACAAACACTTTTTCCCACAGTCTAGATTGTCTCTTCACTCTGTTGGTGATTTCTCTGGCTGTGCGAAAGCTTTTTAATACGATGAGATCCCAATAACTGATATATTCTTATAAGGTTAGAAAATACAATATAGTTGCATAAGACTAGGACATCTAGATCTCTGCCTAGGGTCAAGTAGAAAAAGCTGGACAGGGCTGGGGATTTAGCACAGTGCCTGCCTGGCACTGTGGACATCTAGATCTCTGCCTAGGGTCAAGTAGAAAAAGCTGGACAGGGCTGGGGATTTAGCACAGTGCCTGCCTGGCAAGTGCAAGGTCATGAGTTCGATTCCCGGTACCGGAGAAAAAAAAAAAAAAAAAAAAAAAAAAAGGAAAAGCGAAAAAGCTGGAAAATGACTCTGCACCTGCATGAAGACCCCGAAGAGCCCAGGATGCAAACTCCCAGGTCACGCCTTGCAGGTGCAGCAGCATCGGAGCTCTGAGCCAGGCAGGTGCAGAACACGGGCAGGAGGGCTGGAAGTTCAAGTTAAAAATGTTGTTAGTGCCTCCTTCATTCCCAAAGGATGGATTTGTCAGGTTGCAACTCCTGGTTACTGGTTTTCTTCTGGGCCTCTAATTTGTCACCCCACCACTTTCTGGCCTCCCCTGGATCCTGATGGATAGCCATCTGTTAATCTTACTGAATCTCCCTTGCATGTGATGAGCTGCTTCTCTCTGGCGTTTTTCAGACCTCTTTGTTCATCTGTCCTAGTCACTTTCCTTGTTGCTGGGACAGTGTCTGGGCACCTGCAGTTCAAAGGAGCAGAGGCTCATTTTGGCTCGTTTTTTAGAAGTTTCCGTCCTTGCATGGCTGAAGGGTGTGACAGAGGACAGCTGCTCACCTCATGGTGGCCGGAAGCACAGGGTGAAAGGGGAGCTGAGGAGGGAGATGCACCTTCCAGGTCAGGCCCCCAGTGACTGCCACTTCCCACCAGACTGCACCTTTAACAGCACGTTCAGCTATAGCACCTCATGATTCAATCACCTTTCCAAAGCCCTACTTCTAGTGCATGAGGCTTTGAGGGAGGGGCATCAATTTATAAACCATAACATCATCTTTGGGTTTCAACAGTATGGTCATAAGGTACCTCTGGATAGGGAACCCTCTGAGATTTTATTTTCTTAGACCTATATATGAATGTCTTTCATCAAAGTGGGAAATTTCAGGTCATATTTTTTGTGGTACCGGGAATCGAACTCACGACCTCGCGCTTGCCAGGCAGGCGCTGTGCCACTGAGCTAAATCCCCAGCCCCTAGGTAATATTTTTATATAAAAAAAAAATTCTCCTTAGTATTCAGACTTTTAGACTATTTTTTTCTTTCTTTTTTTTTGCAGGGACTGAATTTTAATTGTTTTATTTTCACACTCACTGCTCCTTCTGCCTGCTCAAAACTGTTGCTAATAAGTTTGTCATTTCAGTTATTGTGCTTTTCAGTTCTAGTATATTTTCTTTTTGTTGTTTTCTCCTCTTCCTTATTGATGTTCTCACCTTGCTCAATGTTATTTTCCTAATTTCCTTTAGTTTTGTCCATGACTTTCTTTAGATCATTGAACATATTTCTGACAGTTGATTTAACATCTTTTAAAAACAACTAATTCCAGTATCTGACCTTCCTCAGGTTCAGATTAGATTTCTATCCATTTTTCTCCAGTGAATGGGCCATGTGCTCCTTTCTTTGTGTGCTGGATCATTTCTTGTTAAGAATGAGACATTCTGAGTATCGTACTGTGGTAACGCTGGAAATCTGATTCAGCCACTCCTCAGGATTAAAGATTTTTACTGCCTGAGGGCTACAGTGCTATTTTACAAATTGTGTAATCTTTGTTGTCTGTGGTGACCGAAGTTTTTGTTCTTCCAGGTCAGCCATGATCTGGCAAAGGTCTCCCTCCCCAAGGGTGTTCCTGTCCCGGTATCTTCTGGTACGAGCTTTTGAGGGGAGCTGCTGCAGCCCTGAAATGTGAAAGCAGGGCAGGTGTCTGCTACAGTCCCTCAGGAGCCACCAGCCCAACTGTATCATGGAGGCCAGGGTCCCCACTGCTCACCCTGGCAATGGCCAGACTCTCCAGGGATAGGGGCCACATTGTCACAACACTAGCGTGGCTACAGAGTGGGAGGTGGCAGTGGCACACACACCCCTTACAAGAATCGTGTGGCTCTCCGTCATGTTGTTATGTGTGTGATCTGGCTCCAGAATTTGGAAGTAATTGATTTAATTAAAGCGTGGCTGCTTTGGTGGAAGGTTGTCTCCTGGGACTCCCTGCATGTTCTTGGTTACATGGCTGTAAAAATTGTGGTTTTCCAATCCTATGATTCTCTTCTGCATTCTTACTGGCTCTTTCTAGGAAGGAAGGAAAGAAGGAAAGAAGGAGGGAGGGAGCGAAGAAGGGAAGAAAGGAAGGAGAGAAGAAGCAAAGGAAGGAAGAGAGAGACACCATAGCTTTCTTTAAAGTAGAATTTTGTTGGTGAATTTAAGTTAAATGTTGGTATCTTTATTGAACGTAAAGGTTTCTGTATTTGTAATGATATGCACAGAAAGCTCATTTTATATACTTAGAATTATATGTGCAAACTCCATGTGTGGATAACTGTAGCTATTTTGCAATTACATGTATAGACATAAAATTATAATCTTAGCACAAATAACAGTATTTGTGGTTATAAAAAATTTTATTTACATATGTTGACATAGAATTTAAACACATAAGATTATGTGTATGTGACTATTAATCTTGCAGGTGGTAAGTGCCCACCCTGTTCCACATCTGCCTGTGCAGCTGTGGGCGTGCTTAGGGTTATTCAGTGTTCACCCTGTGCCGGGTCCGGGCCTTAGCACCGGCCATGTGAACATGTTCAGCATGACCTCTTTCAATTCTCATAATGACCTAGTAAGTTGTTTATATCGGGTAACTGAGGCCCAGCGAGGTAAAGTAAGGTGTCCCACATCACAGAGCTTGAACGTGACAGAGCTCACATTAAAGCGGGACTCAGACGTCAGAGTCCACCGTCAGTACAGACCAAGATGTCTTCTTTAGGAGAACTCAGAAAAGTGGGTTTTCCAGAACAGTTTTAAAACTTGATATCTTTACAAGTTTGAGTCTAAAAACTACTTTGTAGGAAAAAAATGTTGTAAGTAACAAATGAGGAATCAGCTTATTGTTGGGACTAGAACAATAAAACAGAGTTTCTTAAGCTTTATTTGACACAAAAGGCAGCTTTCAGGCCTGGGATACAGCTCAGTGGTAAGTGCTGGCGTCACATGTGTGAGGTCTTGGGTTCCATGCCCAGCACCACACCAAAAGCAAAAAAGGATAGGTTTTGAACTTTATCGCTGAGCTATCTGAGGCCTGTGTACGCAAAGAAAGTAACATACATTTTGGAAAATGAAAGGCAAGGAAACAATTAATGCAGAAACAAATTCCAGAAATGGCTCCGAACTGCTGAGGTGTGCTGGGAGTGGCACTGCTTAGCTGCTCAGCTGGAACCTAAAGGTGGCTTCAGTATTTTACTGGGGTGTGACGCTCTCCCTCTATAGAATGCACCTATCTTATCTTGAAAGCTGCGCCTAATCTCCTCTATGCAGGGTGAGCAGACTTGCGGAGGACCTGGACTGGAACTGCTTCCTGTTGCAGAGGTGTTCTGGGTCCCTGGTGGCTTCTCAGGGGCAGATTAAATTCCCTCAGCACTGTGCATAAATTAAGTGCAAACTAACACCTTGCTTCTCGGCCTCCAGAGGGCTGCGCTGTCCTGCAGGGCAGTGGCCCAGGACATTTGTCTCTGTGGCAGTGTCCAGTTTCTTTAGAGACAGGATGAAAACAGGGCTTTGGCTCACCTAGCAGCAGCATTTATGCTTGAATTTTTAGCTTAAGTTTTCTGACGTCCGAACTGAAACCGTGAGAAACCAGGAGCTGCTCCCCATCTAGAGCATTGTCCCCAACTCTGCATTTGGCTGCTGCAGGCTGGCCAGGCTTTCTGTGGTTTGATGTGCACGTATTTGACACATGTGTGGACTTCCAGGGAGGATTAGATAAATAATTCAGTTTCGATGAAGAAGAAACCAAAGCCTCTGGATTGTCCAGGTACGTGTTGTTTGTTATTTATGACGAAGCACTCTGGTTGAGGCTGCGCTTGGGCACCTACAGAGGCCGGGCGCCAGCAGGGCTGGGGAGATGTGCAGAGCTGTTGCCCAGGGCCCAGGAGTCCCGGCTGTTTCTTTGCTTGTGCCCGGTTGGAGGAACGTGGTGATATTCATCCCCGTTGAAGGATGTGGTGATATTCTCACCCTTGGGGAGTCTAAACAGAGGACACCGGGTTCCTGAGCTGCGGGTTCAGCTGGCTGCTCTTCTCAGGAGGATGGAGAGCAGGCAGGGCAGCGCCTCTGGAAACAGGATCCTCCCCATCCCATGGGTGGGAACAGGCCTCTAGGGTTATTGGCGCCAGCACCACAGTAAGCAGTAGGAGCGACAGTGGCTTCCACGCAGGAAGCACCTGCCATGCTGTGTAGCTGCATCTGTAGTGGCCGGCCTGGAGTTCTTGTGGTTCCCAGCAGCTGGCAAGGAGTTCCGGTCCCAGTGGCCAGCAAGGTACTCTGGTCACCATGGCGACCGTGCAAAGCTGAGTCACAGAAGCTGTGACCAGCTAGAACCAAGCAGGGTGGCTTTGCAGGGCTCCCCAGGCCTCACAGCAAGGGCTGGGTGAGGGCACTGAGTCCCCAGCTGTGGAGTGGTACTGGCAGCGTCTGCACTGGCTTGGAGCTGACCTGCATGGTTGGAAGAGTCCCGTGAGTCACGGGCACCTGATCCTGGGCCTCTCCGCTGACGGTGGCAGCAGGAATAGAGCCGTTCCCTGGCTGGCACTGGCACTGGCACTGTCACTACCTGTGCAGCGAGTTCTCAGGGCTCCTGCTCAGACCCTGGCACCTCTGCAAGCCCTAGGTGGCGCTGACCCACTGCCCTGGCCGCGTCATGTACATTTTGGTGACTGTCACGGAAAGGTAGTGTCCATGGTTTGACCAGACTTTGAAGCCTAGTGGTAGGGAGTTTCCATCACACTACAGCCCCGGGAGTCCCCGGCCAGCATCTCGCTGCTTCTGCCGCTGTGCCCCAGGTTCCTGCCCGCTCCACTCGGCACCCTGGGAGTTGGCTGCATCGCGTCTGGAAGTGGAGGCCCGGCTGGCAGGTGTGCCATAGTCGGCAACCACTCGTGGCTGCCAGGATCTTGGCTTCGTGCCGGGGACAAACCAGGGCCCTCTCACCAGCCTTGCCAAGCCCAGCGGTCAAGGATGCCTCGCCCAAGGGAAGCTGCAAACTGAGAGAACTCTGGAAAGCAAATTTCAGTGTAATTCATTTCAGGGAAAAACAAAAATAAACGGTGTAGTCTTTTCCCAAGACCTCCTACTTTTCTGGGGCTGTGCTGGGCTATGCTTTCTTAGAATGGCATAGGCATGTGCGTGGAGAGCTCCGCGACATCTGGCTGCTTCTCTCAGAGGAAGAAAACTGAATGGAAACAAAGTTCTCTGAGCTGGGAAATCACAGGCTCATCCACTCAGAGGACAGGGACCTCTGGGGGAGGCCACATCACATACTGCCTTGTGTTCTACTCCCTTCTGGACAGTGACAGCGTTTTACCCAGGGTGTCCTGTGCTCCGTGGCCAGTGAACGCTTGGCTTGTTGCAAGCCAGCGCTTGCAAACAGGAGCGGCTTGGCATAGTTCAGGGAAGAGCAAGAGCAGCATGTCTGTCCCGCTTAGTGTGTGAGGCCTGGCTGGACCGCTGCTGCCTCCGGCAAGTTTGGTTTGCAGTCGGTGAATCACGTTTTCCTGTCAGTTTTCTATCTGATGCTTTTTGCAGTTGGCTGCATCAGGTAGAGGGGTTGGTCATTGCTCACCCCTCTTTAACCTGGTCCATCGTCTGCTGCTCCTGGGCAGGAGTGTCTTTTCATCAGAATGGAGGGAATCCCCTCACAGATGGCCACACCTGCAGCAGCTGAGGTCGTGGCTGAGTGTGTCCATTCTTGGTGTGTACACTTGGTCTACAGTTACCGAGAGGTGTTTAAGAGGTCAGACCAGGCATTTCCCGCCTGTAGTCCCAGTGCCTTATGACTGTGAAGATCCATCCCAGTTCCACAGAGTTGTCACTCATGCCCTGCTGCTTTGCAAGGTGATTGCAGCACAAACCACCACCCCACCTGCACCTTAACAGCACATCTGTGTTAAATCCATGTGTACCATGCTGGGCCCTACTCATAAAAGATGTTGCTTTATTGTTTCATGTTTGTGAATTATCCCACTGTTGTTATTGTTATTATTATTATTATTATTATTAGGAGGTACTAGGTTGAACCCAGTGCCTTCACCCCAACCTACATTCCCAGCCCTTTTTATTTTTTATTTTGAGACAGAATCTCACTATAAGTCTATAAGTTGCCCAGGCTAGGCAGACCTTGCGACCCTCCTGCCTCAGTCTCCCAGAGTGCTGAGTAAAATTTCTTAATATACTGACACTGTGAAGCAGGCGCTTGTGTCGTTGAGCTATATCCCCAGCCCTTATACTGACACTGTGACTTCCCTCAGTGTTTATGGTTGATCTTCCTACAGCAGTGTGGGAGTTCCCCTTCTTATGATTACTTATTAGGACTGGAAGGTTTTAGTCTGAGTAATTTATTATGGTATCTCTTTATTTTAATTTGAGCACTTTTAGGTAGTTATTAATTACATAATTTTCTTCTTTTGAATTTATTAGTATTCTCTGTATATTTTTATTGGAGCTTCCATCTTTCCTGATAAGCAATTTTATTTATTGGAATTTAGTAAAGTTTTTACAACTTATTTTGTATTTGTAAGCAAATACTTGAATTTGTAAGGAAAAACCTCATTGGTAGATTTATACAGAAAAATTAGAATGTAGGTGTGCCAAAATATTAATAATAGCTTTTATAGGTGATAGAAATTTGGATGATTTTAGTGCTCTTTGTATTTATCTCCTTCTTCCATCCCTTCCCTTCACCTTATGTTTTGTTTCGTTTTGTCTTGTTTTTCTTTTTGCCTTTTTGAGACAGGGTCTCACTCTGCAGTTCAGGCTGGCCTTGAACTCACTTTGCAGCCCAGGCTGGTCTGGAATTCACAACGATTCTCCTGCTTCAGCCTCCTGAGTGCTGGGATTACAGGTGTGCCCACCATGGCTGGTTCTTTCTTTTCATCTTTAGCTCTGTTTTCAAGTTATTGCACAATAGACCTTTTTTTTTTAACACAACAAAGACATTCTGGTTCTTGTGACTAATGTCCAAGGGGCTGCCTATCCTTGTTGTCCCTGCCCGCGTGCTCTGTCTGTCCTGCAGAGGGGGCCGTGCTCTCCCAGTGCACGGTCTGGAGAGGCTCCAGCTCTCCTCTCATCCATCAGCTCTGCACCTGCACTTGCCCAGCGGTGCCGGAACATTTACAGTGGCAAGAAACTGGCCCTCACGTTTCTCTTTTCCCCCACCAAGACCAGCCTGCTATGGGATGGATGAAGAAGACAATTACTACATCTCACAGCTCAAGGATGTCTACAACAGCTGTGATGCCACAGGGACAGGCTTTCTGGACCGGGAGGAGCTGACCCAACTCTGCCGGAAACTCCACCTGGAGAAGCAGCTGCCTGCCCTCCTGCAGACTCTGCTTGGAGACGACCTCATTGCCAGGGTAGGTATCAGCCTCTGTTCCCAGCACCACTGGGTTTCATTGTTAGCTGTGGTGAGAGTGTATCTTGGCTGTCAACTGATTGGCTTGAGACACACCTAGGAGATTAGTAAAGCACACTTCTGGGTGGATCGTGAGGGCACAACTTTGGGGACCATATGTAGTCCCTGGCCCTTCCTCAGAAGCTCAGCTTCTGGGATGCTGTTGTGGTTTTGGGCTTATCTTGCAAGGAGAAACAATATAATACAGGACACATATTTTATAAGATATTTATAAAAGTCACCCAAAGAATCATGTACAGCAGAGTGCAGGGAATCTGTCCACACACTATAGACCAAGAATCCAGCTGAGGGCCTAGATCCCGTGATAATGTCCTGCATGAGTCCAGCTGAAGACCTAGAGCCCGTAACAGTGCCTTCCACGAAGGCAACTGTAGGTCTAGAGCACACGACAACGTCTCATGTCAGCCTGTTTCACAGATCTGCCCTGGGAAAGGCCAAAGGTCAGTAGTGGAAGCTAGAAAGTTTGTGCCAGTGGGATGGAGTATCTGTGCTAGCAGGCTGAGGGGTCTGCACTGGAGCCAGGAAGCGACGTGCAAAGTAAGAATCAGAGCTCCCCCAAAAGGTACCATAGCCACCCTCAGCGACAGTGAGATCCTGAGCTCCTCCGATGATCAAGACAGCCGAGTTCCCATCAGGAAAGCCAACGTGACAAGCTTCTCTAGAAGACTGGCAGTGCACCATCTTCCCCTCCGAAGCCAGGAAGCAATGCTGAAAGTGAGGACCAGAGCTCCCCCAAAGTGAACCAAAGCTATTCTCGGTGGCAACAAGGTTGCCACTGAACTCCTCAGAGGATGAAAACAGCCACGTTCTTCAGGAAAGCCAGCATGACAAGCTCCTCCAAAAGAACCAACAGTTCCTTACAGCTTCTACCAGCTTCCAACAACCTCACGTCTTCTTCTCCAGTTCTGCCTCTTATGCTGCTGGCAGCAGTGCTCAGGTTGGCCTCCCACACCCAGCACCATGCTTACTCAGTTCAGCTGGGGGTTATAAGTTGACCACCAGTTGTCAATCCACAGATGCTGAGTTGAGTAGCTTTCCTCCACCATGCCCTCGTGCCGTGATATTTCTGTCTTGGAGCCAGCTGAGGATGGTCTGATACCATGAGCCAAAACAAACTTCACTTCCTTTAAGTTGCATATGTCAGGTATTTTGTCCCAGTGATGGAAAAGCTGACTGATACAGAAAATTGTTCCTGGGGAAGTGGGCCCATCGCTGTGGCTATACCTGATCATTGATTCAGCAGCCTTTGGAAATTATTTGCAGGAGAGCTCTGGAATGTTTACAGATGCAGGCTACAGAAGCCCTAGAATGCTATGAACAGAGCACTATGGGTAGTTCTGGTGGGAGCTCAGTTTAGTACAGTTCAGAACAGTACAGTCTTTTCTTTGAGGTTTCAGATGGGAATGAAGACTGTTTTGGGAATTAGACTAGAGGCCATGGAAGTTATATTCTGGCAAAGAACTTCTCTACATTTTTTCCATGCCATAAAACTTCGTCTGAGGCTAAGCTTAAGGGCAATGAACTAATTAATCTGTGGAATAAATTTCAAGGCAGCATAATGTTTGGGCTGTGGCATGGATACTGCTAGCTGCCTTTACCCAGGTTTATAGTGAGAATCAGGAGCAAAAACCAGAGCAGAAAGATTTGAAAAACTTAAATTTTAGCCAGAAAAGAAGTACGTGTAAAGTTGGAGCCAAAATAATTGTGGTTGCTGAAGAGATTAGTGCTATTAAAAAAGAAGCCATCTTGGGCCAGGGATGCAGCTCAGCCGCACAGTGCCTGCCTGGCAAGCACGAGGTCCTGAGTTCTATTCCCAGGGGAAAAAAAAATCTCAGGAATGACTGTCATGACTTAGACTCCCATAGACGTAGAAGACAGGCAAAATCCTGGCCCCTTCCTTATCTGCTACTCATTAACTGCGTGACTTGTGTTTTCTTCTGGGTTAGCTGTCACAAATACAGATATCTAGTTACACAAAGAACAGTGTTAACAAGGTAATTTGCAAAAAAATTTTTTAAAAAATTAAAAAAAAAAAAAAACAAGGTAATTTGCTTGTGTTTAGTTCCTGTATCTTAAACATTATCAAGGTCTGGTTTCAAGTTGCAAAGTTAATAGGGAATACAGTCCTTGTGACCTTTATGGGGAATTTCCATGCATATTTTACATTATGTCTTCTTGTTTCTGTTATACCAGTGGTGAGGATCTTAACCTCAAGCATTTTAATTTTAGACCAAAATAATTCATCTCTTAAAAAGTGATTCTTAACATGGTGTTATTAGTAATAATTAGAATTAATAATTAACCCTAACCCTAAATTGGAAGTGACTGTTGATCATAGTCCTCCCCCCTTTGTTTTGCAAGAGTGAATCTTGGGTCACACAAAGATGCAGTGGTGTCTCCTAGTCACCTCCCAGAATGCCACGGGGCTGTTCCGTGTCTTAGGGGCTGTGAAGGACAAGACCAACCCAGGAAACAAACACAGTCAAAATGGGTCAAGCTAAAACACCAGACAGGGCTACACATCTCATTGCGGCTTGGTGGATGGAAGAAACTGAGAGTTACTACCAAAGACACAGGAGAAACTGATCAGATCAAGTGCACTGCCCTTTCACTGTACAACTGTGTGCTCAGCAGGTGTTTTCTGAGCACTCGTGTGCTGTCCCCATCCCGCATCTGGGTGCTACGATACAGAAGGCAGGAACACATTTCCACCTTCATGTGTGCAAGGTCATTCATCTTGGCAGCAAAGACAAGAGCAGTCAATCACTATGGGATTGGTTAAGTAAATCTGGTAAATCCAAATGTTCAAATTTTACATAGCCTCCCAAAAGAATGGAGAGACTTACACTTTTTTAGTAGTGGCAAATCAGTAAACTCAAGTTGACTTCCACAGAGGCTACTAAAAAAGGTAAACAAAATAATAAAAACAAAAATCGCAAAAATAGGAAAACACACCAGAGAGAAATTACCAGTCCAAAGATGTGTGGTAGGCTGGGCATGGTGGTGCATGCCTGTAATCCCAGCACTCGGGAGGCTGAGGCAGGCAGTGCATTGTCAAGGTCCTGTTGTGTTGCATGATGGTGTCACTGTTCATTCATCCATTCTGTTCAAGTAAGCATAGTGTCACTCCTATTCTAGAAGCATGAATTATTATTATAAGCTATAAATTATGTTCTGCTGAAAAGATTATAGGTGAAATTAAAACATCTGAAACAATTAAAAGAGTTTGGCATCAGTATATGCAAGAAAAGGATGAAATTCCAAAGGATGCACTTTAAATAGAAAATTATCACAGAAGGTCAGAATTGCAAAAAGAAATGAAGAACCTACTGGTTAATATGTGGGTAATTCTAAATGAACATTTACTATATAAAATAAAAGTGGGGGCTGAGAATTTAGCTCAGCGGCACAGTGCCTGCTCAGCAAGCGCAAGGTAGTGAGTTTGATTCCCGGTACCGGAAAAAATAAATAAATAAATAAAAGTGATATTTGTGGGGGTGCAAAAAAAAAGAGAATGCATTCTAAATGTTTAAAAATCAGGAGGGTAGCAAAGGGATTTAAAACATTACATAGGCTTTGTATTAAACAAGAGGGTAAAAGTATTGATTAGTAGTAAATTTGATAAGCTAAGGATATATGTTGTTTTTAGGAGAAGCAGAAAGAGAGTGAAAATAGACTATATACAACTTCTAAGTTAATAAAGAGTAAAGTGAAGTCCTAAAATATAATAAACCCAAAAAGAGAAAAGAAAAAAAATAAGGATGTTACATTGAAAGTAGAAAATAAAATAGTAAATTTAAATCCAAGTATATCGGTAATTACATTAAATGTAAACAGACCAAATACTTCAGTTAATTGATAAAGATCATCAGATTAGAAAAATGCAACTATCTCTACTGTTCATAAGAGGCAACGTACATCAGGATGTACAGAATTGAGCCTAAAAGTTGGATACGTCACATAAATACTAACCAAAAGAAAGCTGAGTGATTTCTGACATGAGAAAGTGGGACTTTAAGATTGAAAAGTGACTCAGGGAATTCTTAGGTCTGGCGTGTGGAGAAACCCCAAGGGGGATGTATGGATCGATGTTCAGAGCGTTTTGGTTTTGATAAGCATACCCTGGAGACAGGGCTGGGTTGGTTGTTGCCGTGGTGCTCAGCGAAGTGCTGTGCATCAGAGATGAATGAATTATGCCTGTGCACAGCCTCGTGGACAAGTTTCACAGAAGCAGTGTCGAGTCAAAAGGGCAAGACCTGAAAGAATGTATGCCTGTGATTCCCCCAAGGGAAAACTAAACCCTGTGTTTTAGGGATGCATGCAGGTTAGGTGCAGAAAAGCAAGGACGTTGTTATCATGTAACAGGAGAGAGGAACCTGGAAGCAGAGCTTTCGAGGAGCTGGCAGTGTTCTGTCTCTAGCGCTGATACTGTGAATATTTGCTTTATGGGTTTTAATGTTTACAGTTATCAGTTTCCCTTTTTCTGCAGTGTGTGTTTTCTTTTGTAAATTTTTCTCATTTTTAGAGACCGAGCCTCCCTGTGTTTCCCAGGCTGGCCTAGAACTCCTGGGCTCAAGTGTTTTTCCTGCCTCAATCTCCCCAGACTATCGGCCTGTACCTGTTTTTTTCTGATTATGTTGCGGGATCTGCTTTAGAAAAGTGTTTATTTGGTGGTGGGATATGGTTCGTTTTTACCTTTCTTTTCTGTTATAAACAGTCTTAAGTACATATTTGGAAAAGTGAGAAGAATGTTCTGAAAGGACCCCAGAGGTGGTGAGTGCTGGCATTCACACTGACCCCTCTGCTTAACCCTGCACAGGTCACCTTCGAGGAGTTTAAGGATGGGCTCGTGGCTGTGCTGTCCTCCAAGGCCGGTGGTGACCCCGGCAGGGAAGAAGCTGGTTCTTTGCAGTCAGGTGAGAGGAAGCCCTCCGTCAGCTGTGTCTCTGCCGCATTTGTCCGCCTTTTGGAGTAAAACCCTCAGTTCTAAACACTGAGTTCCCACCCTGCTTTCTGTCTCTACCAGGCTGTGTGCCCTTGGATCTTTGGTTTTTCCTCCCCTCATCTGCTTTCTGTAAGCAGTGTCTAAGGTGACATGCGGGCTCAGTGTGGGGCATGCGCCATGCCTGCTGCAGACACGTGGTGGTTGTGTGGGAAGAGGCACTCAGCCTCTGTAGCGGGCAGCTGGCCACCCACCCACAACCTCTGACACCTGTTTGTCACTGTGCTATGTGACCGGCTGAAATCTGTTCTAAGAAGGGGTGGGTGGGCCAGAGATGCGCTGGCCAGCGCGGCAGGCGGGGCCGGACACCTGGTCCCAGCCTCATGTGCCGGAGAGCGGTGGGCCTGGGGGGCACGCAGGAGGGTCTGTCTCGTGTGTTGGCCACCGGTGCCCCACAACCTGCTCTGTGGCCAGTGTGCAGGGAGATGGCAGTGCTGCCCTGGGGGACCCTGATCAGGAAGAGGGCCAGCTGCAGGTCAGGGACAGGGCCAGCCGTGGGGCCATAAGGTCAGGGTGAGGCTGGCCGGGATCCAGCCCCACTGAGGGTTGGGAGCGGCCCCAGCCATGGACCAGCACTGTTGGGAGGAGGGCTGGTGCTGAGGACACACACCGAGTGTCGTCTGGGCCCCAGCTGTAGGCTTTCTGTTTTATGTAGATCCTCGCAGCTCCTCGAAACCCAAAGTCCTATCATGTTGTCACCCTCGGTATTCGATGAGAAGCCGGAGGCTCGGGAGAAGAGATTTGTCCAGACCCCAGAGAGTGAGTGCTTGGAGGAGAGTGAGTGCTTGGAGGAGAGTGAGTGCTTGGAGGATTCAAGCCTGTTTTCCAGTTTAAAAGTCCTGGGCCCTGTGCACAGCTGTGCTGGCAGCCTGCTTGTCCCATGGGTGTTGGTGGCCCCTCCCTCCCTTCTCCCAGGTGGTAAGGACCTGGGGTTCGGGCTGTGGGGCCTGAGCCAGCCCTATGCATGTCACTTGCAGGACCCAGTGCTGACTTACACCTTTTGATCCAAGAAGTATGGTGGCCTTGGCCGAGGATGTCGTGCCAGGATGCTGCAGTCCTCTGTGCCATAAGCACTCTGAGCTCTGAGCTCTCCACCTGTGTGACATTCTCAGTTCTTCCAAAGAAGCAATCTCAGTTCAGACCTGTGCATTTCCCACAACCCAGTTTTGTCTTGTCTTGTCCTGTCCTGTCCTTCCCTCGCCTGCTTTTGGGTTAGAATTTCAGAGCTTTCCTCACCAGAGGGTCCTGGTCCCTCTGCAGCTCTAGGCGCCTGTTCCCTGCCTAAAGGATGGAACCAGTGCTGTGGGGCTGCAGCCAGAGAGACCCATTCAGATCCGGCCGCCCTCCATGCCCTGCAGGGCTGGGTCTAGCTCAGCATTCCCATCTCGCCCTGCTCACCCGCCTGCTCATCCCTGCACCTGTTCTCCGACCCTGTGCTGTGCCTTCAGCCCCTCTTCACCCCGCTGTCCGTGTGCCAAGGGCTCTGTGCTCAGGCCCTGCTTGCTGCTCAGGGCATGATGTCCTGCTCCTCCCGGGTTCCCATCTCCTTGTGGTGCTTCCAGAGGCCCACTGTGGTGATCAGAGAAACGGGCTTTGGATGGACAGGGCTGGGGCTCATGGTGTGATGTGTCCTGGATTCTGGAGAGCAGCCTTGCTTCCCATCACCCTCCTGTTGTTCAAGGCCATCACTGTTTGGACTCGGTGGCCTTTGGCATGGAGAAGGCACACAGGTGTGAGGGCTTTGGCCTGAAGGTGTGCTGTGGGCTGGGGTGAGCGGCTCTGGCTGAGGGCTTGCTGGAAAGATGCTCGGCTCAGGAGACTGAGGCACTGTCCAGCCAGAGGGAGGGGCCCTGTGGTTCTGAGGGGATGAAGCCCACCTTGGGCGTTGTTGCCGGGCTCTGACTCCTTGTCCCCAGGCTGGCGAGCCATGTGCACACTGTTCTCCAAGTGGCCCATACTGGGCAGGCCACTGCACTCCTGGGTGCTCGTCATTCCAGAGAATGCTCCCTGGCCGGGCATGAGGAGGGTGCTGGGTAGCACAGTACCTTGAGGTCAGCATAGACCAGCGGGCTGAGGAGAGGACGCAGACACTAGTGGCACCCCATTCCTGGTGTGCAAGTGTAGGATTTGGCCGCAGGCACGGCCATTAAGGCAGTACAGTACCTGGGTCCACTCTGGGGCAGGCCCTGTGCCGCAGGGTCATAAGCACCCTTGGGTCCCTCCAGCATGGCTTCCCACTTGCGTCACAGCTTCCAGTGCTCCTACAAAGATTTCATTTCCCTGCAGCACTTCACAGGCCTGAGCCCCAGGGAGGAAAGGTCTCCCAGCACGGCCGTACCTGGGCACGGGGAAGAGGGGCCGGGGCCCTCTCTCCAGCTGTCTTAGTCTGGTTGTGGATCTCTGAGGGGCCCTGTGTCCTCCCTACCATCGCCCCTCCCCGTGCACCTTGTAGATTTGTGCAAATGTGCCGGGTGGAGGCGGAGATAGAGTAGTGTGGATTCGTTGAATTCCCATATATCCCAAAACTAGTGTCCCTGCCTCCCTCCGACCTGCTGGCCCGGGTCCTCCAGGTCTCTCTTATCCTTGTGGTGAAGCCTGAGAAGTTCTCAAGTCTCTGGAGCTGCATGTCCTTGGATTACTGCAAGTCTTTCCTTTGCATAAAATGCTAGATGTTGTGCTTGTTTTTTCATTCCATAAACAGAAGCAAAAATATACTTGAAAAAATGTAAGCAACAGGTGGAGTTCAGTGCAGGGACTTTCCTGCTCTGCACCTCTTGAGCCCTCTGAGGCGCCTGGGGAAGCCTGGTACTGGTCCCTTGAGTTAACGCCCCCTAGTGCTACCCTGTGCACTGTGCATCTTCAGATGCTTCTGGGTGAGCCAGGCCAGGCCACTGAGCCCCGAGCACTTCACGGTCCTGCACCTGTTTTCCCTCCAGCTGCCTCCTGTGCTGTCCCACCAAAGTATGTGAGTGGCTCCAAGCGGTACGGCCGTCGGAGCCAGCCAGAGCGGAGGATCTCTGCCACCGAAGCCACATGCGGGCCAGAGCAGCAGGCCAGGGCTGGGCTGAAGAGCCAGCTGCGCCGCGCCGCGTCCCTGGAGAGTGTGGAGGTGGGTCGGTGTCTCGTCTCACCCCAGGGTGCCCGGGGCTGGGGAAGGAATGCTCCCCTCTGTCGCCGTGGCACATGGTCCCCAGACCTAGGGGGAGGGCAGCGGCATTCTGGGCAGCTGAAGTTGCCAACAGCCCGGGTTCGTGTTGGGGATGGCATTTCCCTGTAATCTTCTCAGTCTGATTGTCTTTGGGGGTGCTGGCACAGAGCACCCACTTTCAGAGCCTGGCAGTAGAGGGTTTGCACACAGATCCTCCCTGCCTGTCATTGCAAGCGGTTTTTACAGTGTCACGAGTGTGAACGTGATGTGCCAAGGACAGAAAGGGAAGGCGTCAGGGTAGGAATGTTCATGCCCCGTGCCCGTGGTCCCACCTGCCTCAAAGGCTTGGAAGATCCTGGGGCCCTGCAGGGTCAAGCCCAGGCCTCCCAGAGCCTTGGCATTGCTGCTTCTTGCCTGCGGAGCCTGTCCCGTGTCTGGGATGGCCAGGAGACCAGCCTGGGCCTCCTGCTCCCAAGTAAAGAGAGGTTTCCACGGGGCAGGTGTGCGGCACTGGAATGAACCATGACCTCTTAGACCTGTTTTCAGAGGGTCGCAGCGGCCCCTGGGTCCCACTGTCTGTGACAGGAACTCTGGGCACATTGGGAGCTTACCTTTCACGGGAGCCCTGCCCTGCACCGATGCATTTGTATCTTGAACTTTTGTTGAGGTGCAAAGAAAAAACAAACACATATTGAATATTAGGCTCTTCTTCAGGCGCCTCTTGCACCTGGGCAACCAGACCCATGGCCTTGCTTTTCATTTTCTTTGTGAGCTTGGGCCTCAGATACAGAGGTGGAGCGAGTGGCACCAGGGCTTGTACTCCATCTTCACTGCTGCTTGAGCCCGCTTTTCTTTTTTTTTTTTCTGTGTGTGTGTGTGTGGTACTGGGATTGCACACAAGAAGCACTAAGCTACATCTCCAGCTGTTTTTTATTTTGAGATTCCCACTAAGTTGCTGAGACTGGCCTTGAACCTGTGGTCCTCCTGCCTCAGCCTCCCAAGTAGCTGGAGTCATAGGCACACACTGCTGGTGCCAACCTTCAGTTGTCTTAGATCCCCAAAACGTGAGCACAGGGAAAGCTGCCTTCAGGATTGGCAGTCTCGTTGGCACATTAGAAAAATGAGGTCAAGTATCAGCAACTTGGGTTCTGACCCTTGAGAGTTAGTGCCAGCTTCCCAGGGGACCGGCTCGGCTCCCTAGCTGCTGGTTGCAGAATCAGTTACGGGGACACACAGCCCTTGGTCAGAAGCAGACTTTGGCTCTGGTCTGCCGATTCGGTCACGGAAATGTGAGGCTCTTGCCCAAGCTGTGGGTTTCTCAGTGGCCCTGCCCCTCTGAGGCCGTGGCTGCAAGTTTGCGAAGGACCCTGTGGTGTCAGCTGCCTGCACACTGTGGGGACTCAGGAAACCCCTTTAGCTCCGCCTGCTTGCTGACCTGATGTGGGTGGGGGGCTGTGCAGAAGGCAGAGCTATGCGGCCTCCTGCAGATGGAGCGGCACCGTGCCGTGGAGCCAGGTTCCCCTGCAGCTGGGACTCGGGCTTTGCCATGTCCTCGCTGAGCTGCTTGTGGCTGTGTTTATGTTGAGGAGCCTGAGCACAGGGGCCTGTCCGTCTGAGAGGATGTCGCAGCACTGTGGGCTGCTCAGTGAGGCCCCTGTGGGGGCTGTGCATCCTCCGCTGTCTGCATCCTGTCCAAATGTCCTGTTCTCTTTGTCCCTGCTGCTGCAGTTCCAGGGCACCACTGGGGGCTCACTTCTTCCCCTGTTTTTCTAGAGTCTCAAGTCTGACGAGGAAGCCGAGAGTCCTAGAGAACCTCAGGATGAGCTTTTCGAAGCCCAAGGTAACTCGTGGCCTCGTATGTGCTGTCCGCTGCCTCTGTCCCGGGCCTGGACACTCCAGGAGCTGGGCCTTGGGCAGGATGCAGCCCCACGGACAGTGTGCCTGGGGACTGTGGAGGCTGTCACTCAGTCCTCAGCCTCCTGATGCTGAGGGAGAGGCCTCTGACCACGGCTGCAGTGTGGTCTGGGCATTCCCACATGGCCCCATGGCAAGCATGGCTGGGTTCTCAGCTCTGCGCCTCCTGCCACACTGGGCCAGGGCACAGCCTCCCGGGGGCGAAGGAGCCACCTCGGCACCTGCCAGAGTCCTGCTGGTCCCCGGAGGGCAGGAGATGTGGCTCTGGTCCTCTGAGCCTTGTAAGGCCCAGAAAGGAGAGCTTGGCTGTTTATGGAGGGGACTGGGTGGAGGCCAGGTGCACAGAGTCAGCAGGATGAGGGGACACCATGGTACAGCGATGTCCCCGAAAGCAGGAACCATTCTTACAGCATTGCCTGCAGGGAGGGGCACAGGGGTTTAGGGGGAAGAGGACTTCTTTTTCGTGTTAATTGTCTTGCATTTGCCTGTCATGCTTTCATGATATGAAAAATACGAAGAGTCCTGGGTTTGACTGGAGAGACAGCCCAGTACCTGTGCTTGCTCCAGGGCAGCTGCAAACCTGGGGCTCTGAGGTCTTTGGGAACGCCCAGAAGTCCTCTGCCTCACCCGAGAGCCAGGTCCAGGGCATCTGGGAGCAGCTGGGGGTTGGCCGTCGTGGCCACCTGGATGAGCAGGAGCTGGCTGTGGTCTGCCGGAGCATCGGGCTCCGTGGACTCACGGAGGAGGTAAGGGCCCTGGGTCCGGCGCTGCACGAGGGCGCAGCTTCGTGCTGGTCTGCAAAAGTCCTTCACTCTGCAGGCACAGATTCAGTCCTGCTGCTTTCTGGCCTCAAAACCTTGGAGGGCTCCCTGCTCTTCTGGAGCTGATCTCCAGGCCCCTCTGTGACAGCCTGGCCCAGCCTTGCGGGCTTCCTGCCCACCCCGCAGCATGCTGGGCAGGCGTCATGCCTTCAGTCATAATCCTTCCTCTGCCTGGAGTGGACCCTGGCCTGCCCTGCACGGCCCAGCTCTATTCCAGCCAAAGAGGTGGCCCTGGGCCTGTGTGTTGTCCTGGGTGGCCGTGGAGACCAGGGGCCCACTACTTTTGCTGGACTGTGAGCTAGGGGCCAGCCATGCCCACTGCGTACCTCTCAGTGTCCAGCAGATTCCAGTCTCCACTGGACAATGTGCTGTCAGGAAGGCCAGGGGTGCCCAGTCATGGTGGGAGAGAAACCGAGGTGGGGGCCTCAGGAAAGCACCTGGTCAGTTCACGTTGGGCAGGGACAGGAGACAGCCCTGCAGGGTGCTAGAGCCTGGGTGGGGCCCCTCAGAGTCTGACAGGCAGCATCTTTGGTCCAGGAACTCAAAGACCTGTTCCACAAACTGGACCAGGACGGTGACGGCAGAGTGAGTCTCGCAGAGTTCCAGCTCGGCCTATGCCGGCACGAGCCCACGCTGCATCCGGAATCTACCTTAGTCAAGCCAAGCAGGCCCTGGTCCCATTGCCAGGTAAATGGGACGGTTATAAGTCAGACCCTCGCCATCCTTCCTGTGACTACAGTGCAGCGTCCTTGCGTGTCACCCCGTGAGCTGCACAGGGGCCACAGGCTGAGCGTGTGTGTGTGTGTGTGTGTGTGTGTGTGTGTGTGTGTTGGGTGACATGGACCTGCGCTGACCTGTGTGTTGTGGGGTGAGTCCCTTGCCGTCAGGCACCCAGCTGGGGTCTCTGGGGATCACCATGATGCGGTGATCCCCACAGCAGCTCCTCCGTGGCCTCTGGACGGTACATTTACCAAGGGTCTCAGTGGGAAGCCCCCTCCCAGGGGTGGCCGGTAGGGTGGCCTCAATCCCGTACTGGGTCCTGCGACCTGGCTCCTCTTGCTGGCTCACTGCTCGGGGAGGAGGGGGTCACTGCAGTGCTGGACTATGCAAGCGCTGCTCAGTGGCTGATGGCTGGGCAACAAGTCCTGGCGCCAGGACACGGGCCATCTGGGGGTGCTGAAGGGCTGTGCTGTGCCCGGTGGAGGCATCCAGCCTCAAGGTCATCACCTGCAGGTCAGCTGCTGCAGTCTATGCCTGAGGTCCTCGGTGTCTTGCCCTGCCTGGCTGGCCTGTGAGGACCCTGCTGCCCATGCTTAGCACCCACCTGACTTGCTGGAGCCACATCCTGCTCAGGCAGTGTGGCTCATGACAGCTACAGCAGCTCCTGGGCACCACGACCCTGGTCTGTCTTAGCCCACACTCAGCATACACATGCACCATGCACCGTGGTGTGTGCACACCACCTGTCCACGTACACAGCCTAGACACCTGCTGTATACACTGCATGTGTATTGGGTTAATAATATCGGTTAGTTATTGTGAGCTGATCCAGTCTGCAATCTCCCAAATGAGTGTATGGCAAAGGCTAAATAAAAAGAAGCAAACGGAATGATTTCAGGGCTCCAGGACCAGGACCTCTGGGTGGCCCTGGTATTTATTTGGTTATCAGAAGAAGGGAGGGGAGTACTCAAGAAGGGCGGAACCACTCGAGGGCTTCTCCAAGGAAGGTATTAAATGAATCCTTAGTGAAGATTAAGTTAATCCACCCAGGAGTGAGATGCCTGGAGCTATAGTCTTTTTCTAGTTTTGATCGCATCCAGGTGTCCTTGGCTGTGATCTTGTCTTATCCTTTGAGGTTTTCTGGCTTTATCCGCCATTACAGGTTTTAGTAGAGATTAGTGACTCACAGAGGTTCACTTACTGTGAGTACATCCCCCACTTCCAGACAAGAGGCCTAGGTTTGGATAGATTCACAAGTAAACATAAAAAGCCGATTGGTAGCCTGGTGTGGTGGCACATGCGTGTAATCCCAGCACTCGGGAGGCTGAGGCAGGAGAATCATTGCAAGTTTGAGGCCAGCCTGAACTGCATAGCGAGAACCGGTCTCAAAAAGACAAAATAAACCACCAAAAAACAACAACTTAAATTGGTTAATTTAAGTCCTGCTCAATGCTACTTCAGTGGTGTCCATCACATGTGGACATTGCTGCATGCACACACATGCACCATACCCGTGTACTGACTGTACACACACATACCGCGCTGCACCAAGTGTAAACACATCCACTCTACATGTTTCACTGTATGCGTGTTTACCCTACATGGACACTGCGGGGACACTCACCTCTATTGTCCATGTGCACCCACCACATGTGTACTGCATGCGCACATACACTGCATGCACACGTACACTGTGCACACTCACTGACGTCCACGTTGCACGTACACCTGCTGTTACACTCACCCACTGTCCATACTCTGCAAACAAGCACACCCATGTCTAGCACACTGCCACACCTGGATCCTTGCACACACCCTGTGACACAGGCTGGGAGGGACAGGGCCTGCTGGGGTCTGCAGAGCACCCAGGCCCTCCGAGGACAGCAACTCCACTGGGCAGCAGCTGGCTACTGGATGCTGGGGCCCCTGCTGGCCCTGCAGTACGCATGGCGCTGCCCTTCCCCAGGGCCGGCGGCGCGCCTCAGAGACCGTGTTGGAGAACAGGTGGACATGGCTGCCTGCTGGGCTCGTGGGGCAGGAGCTTTATGTCGGAGGAGGGACAACCAGGCAAGTGTCAGGCAACAGGTCACTGGGAAAATGGGAGGAGGAAAGTGACCTCAGAGCCAGACCCGTGTGAGCAGGGTGGCAGGGGGAGAGCAGGGGGAGAGCAGAAGCACCCGTAGTGCGGGACCCACTGCCACCCTGAGCCCGGCGGTCCCAGACGGCAGAGGTTTGTTGGGCAGGACCCGGTGGGGGCACAGTGCAGCAGGAGACCACTGTCACCGGACTGGGGCTGAGAGTTTGACTTGCCTTCTGGTGACGCCCACACGCAGCTCCTGGTGAGCAGGCTTCTGGAAGGGGGCCCTCTGCTTGGGCTCCTCGGCCATGGCTTTTCTCGGCCTGCCCTTTGCTGGCTTTGCATGCGGCTTCCTGAGTCTTCGTCCGCAGGACAAGTGCTCGCTCACCAGCTCAGGGCAGAGACACCAGACCATGCGTGGTCCTCCACCACGTGACACCTGCTGACCTGGGCTGAGGTCCAGCACACAGGCCCGAGGCTTCCGTGGATGGCACAGGAGCAGGTGCTGCGTCCCCTGGCAAAACCATGATGGTGCCCAGCCTCTCCTGTCCTCCAGGGAAGGCGCTGATAACAGCCCTGTGCACTGTTCCTGCGTGAGGCGCTGGTGAGAGGGCGGCTGCAGAGTCACGGATGCCATGTGCTCGGGTGACATGGACGCCGTGTCTCCTCCCCAGGGGCAGATCCCGGAGGAGAGCGGCTGCCACACGGCCACCACCACCTCCTCCTCCCTCGCATCCATGAGCTGCAGCCTGCACCTCTTCTCCAGCATCGATGATGGCAGTGGTTTCGCCCTTCCAGAGCAGGTCATCGCCACCTGGGCCCAGGAGGGCATCCACAGTGGCCGGGAGATCCTGCAGGTTTGGGTAGCACCCGGGTAGCAGGGGCCTCATGGGATGTGAGGGACACGTGCCCGCTGAGGAGGGTGGGCAGAGCACCCCATGCCAGGGCATGGCAGGATGCAGGCTCTGTGCAGAGACTCTCATGTAGGGAAAGGCCATGGGGAAACCTTTTTCCTTCAAATTTTGCTGTTAGAATACAGGAAATTTTAACTAGTAAACAAAATACAGCGAAAACAACAGCCTGAAAAGAAGTCCAGTTGAAGGAAAGTTTCAGCACCCTGCACACTGCCCCTGATTGCCGCACGGAGGAGGGAGGTGCCCCATGCCACGTGCCAGGGAGGGAAGTGTCGCAGACAGTCCTGAGGGGCCCTGCCAGCTGCTGGAGCTGTCCCCACACAGCACTGCTCTCCAGACCCTCCCACGGAGGCTCGGGGTTAGGGTGTTGCCATGAGCCACACAGCCGGTGGCGTCCTGAGAGGGGTCGACGGGAGAGTAAGAAGAAACGATAGACACATACTAAAAGGAAAGCTGGGACCGGGTGGGACCTGACTCTCTGACGGAGAGGCAGCGACAACCCAGCACGGTCTGCCTCTTTATTTATGCACAGTAAAAAGGAGGAAAGTGCTCGATGGAGTCAAAAGTGCAAGGCCTCGGTGTTTGGCTGAGAACACTGAAAGCAAAACATGCTCAGAGTTATCTGTGCTATAGTTAACAGGGAGGAACACCAAGGCCAGACACCTGCTGGACTGGCTTTGCTCTAGTCCCAAGGAGTTTGCCAGCCTCCAGCTCAGCCTCGGCTCGGCCGCTTCCCACAGGGTGTCAGAGTTGTGCCCCTCGGGGTGTTGTCACTGAGTCACGCCCTACAGCACAGCTTTGGTGGGCCAGGAATTTGGGGGCAGCCAGGTGGGCGCCACAGGACACTATAGTCAGCCAGCAGCCAGCTGCAGAGCCTCCCCAGCCCCAGTAGAGGCTGGAGACCTGCTTTAGGGGCCACTCACATGGGACCTGGTGATGTTCACAGCGACGATGGTCTTTGTTCGCTTGTGGGCCTCTGTGGGGCCCCTGAACAAACGAACATCTTCCCAGCTCTCAGTGGCTCCCTCAAAGCAGGCAGTGGGACTGGTGCACAGGTAGCCACATGATGCAGAGCTGATCATGGAGCTGGAGGGTGTGTGGTGTTTGCAGCTCTGTCTATTTTTTTATCTGTCAAAATACCCATGACAGGCTGGGCGTGGTGGGCAGCCTACAATCCTAGCATTTGGGAGGCTGAGGCAGGAGGATCCTGCGATTTCAAACCCAGCCTGGGCTACACATAGCACATTTGAGAGCAGCCTGGACTATATACAGTGAGACCTTGTCTCGAACAAAACAAAACAAAACAAAACAAAACACTAACCCAAGCCATACATATTTTCAAAACCCCACTGGGTGGGAGGTGCTCCTCTCCGAGGTATGTCTAGCCATGGATCCCCCTCTGACAGGTTGCTTTCTACCAACAAAATCACCACCTGCTCTTTCTCAGAGGTGGTGGGTCAGCCTTGAGTCTGAGGCAATGTCAATGCCTGAGTGGGCAGCGGGGAGACAAGGTGTGAGGTGTTTGGTTGGGACGGCCTCCCTGCCTTTGTCGGGGGAGGAAACTCTGTCCAGCTGGGGTCTCTCCACCCCTGAGGCAGGGCCACAGGGCCACATCACAGCAGGGGTGAGGCTGTCTACCAAAAAGGGACAAGGGAATATGTGACTAGAGGAATGAGAGAAGTCACGTCATGACAGGAGCAGGGCCACGAGGTTGGAGACGCCTCCCAAAGCAGAGCCTCACAGACCAGGTGCCGGTTGTGACGGCCGCAGAGCCCTTGCCCTCATGCCTGAGGGGACGAGGACATGTCCAGGGAGCCCTCACCCTCGTGCTTTGCTGCTTCTAGAGCCTGGACTTCAGCCTGGACGAGAAGGTCGACCTCCTGGAGCTAACGTGGGCCCTAGACAACGAGCTCCTGACCGTCGACAGTGTCATCCAGCAGGCGGCCTTGGCCTGCTACCGCCAGGAGCTGAGCTACCACCAGTAAGAGCGGCCAAGGCCCCAGCCGGCCAAGGTCCGGGAAGCCCAGGACAGGCGGGTATTGGCTTCCCACTCCTCCCCCGTGGCCAGGCCCTGGATGAGTGCCTCATCCCAAGCTCCTGGGGGTGGGAGAGGGCTGCGTGGGACAGAGGAGGTTGCGCACAGGTCTGGGGGGCCGTGGCCCCAAGGACATTCTCTGGCTTCTGCTCCAGTTTTGAGGGCACAGAACTGAAGGGCTGATTGTCCGCTGGTGGGAAGCTCAGAGGTGTGAGTGTCAGGTCCTCGCTGTGACCATCTAGTGAGGCTCAAGAAGGACAAGGACTTACCTGGGGGCCAGGAGCACAACTTCCAAGAGCAGCCACAGGCTTGCAGGTTAGGCCAGCAAAAGAGGAAGGACGTCTTCTCAGCTGTGCAGTGACTGCTGGGCGCAGACACCTGCCTTCAGGTGGGGCTGGGCCTCGGCATGGGTGACCGTCCGGCCTCTACCCGGAGCACGGTCAGGATGGGCTGCTGATGTTCTGTGGCTGCAGAAAAGATGGCAGAGACCACAACTAAGCCCTAAGACAGCGCCGGGTCAGGACCTGGCAGAAGGCATCCGATCCCGGGCAGCTCTGCAGGCAGAACCAGAGAGGAGAAGAGGGAAGCTGGGTTTTCCTCTGTGGGCAGAGTGGTTGCCTGACAGCTGGGCAGCCAGAGGCAGGGTCACATGGCAGTTGCCCTTTGCTCCCGGGGTCACCTATGCTTGCTGATACCAGATGCTGGGCATAGGACTGTGCCCAGAGCATCAGGGTGGCTGGCTTCACCCTTCCTGCGCCTATGCCTGGATTAGACACAGGTGTCTGAGGGTTCTTGGCCCAGCTGAGACAGGAGGGCCTGCAGATGATGTCCACATGTCCGAAGCCCTCTGCAAATGTGGCTCTGGGCTTCCAGGAGCTGGGGTCCTTCCAAACACTTTCTTGGCTCCTGCCTCAGTCTTCCCATCTGTAAGGTGGGCACAGCAGCAGTGGAGCCCTGGGTGGGGCTGTAGAGGCAGTGAGCTCTGCAGCCATGGGCATGGGGTTCAGAGAGGCGGGCGGGGGCCTCCACGTGACCTGCGTCCTCACCCTGCAGGGAGCAGGCGGAGCAGCTGGTGCAGGAGCGAAACAAGGCCAGGCAGGACCTGGAGCGGGCTGAGCGGAGGAGCCTGGAGCTCGTGAGGGAGATGGATGACAGCCACACCGCGCTGGAGCAGCTCTCGGAGCGGAGGATTGAGTGCGTTCTGGGCCACGTGAGGGCGCCTCAGCATGGTGGCCCCGTGCCTGGCCAGGACGGGCCGCTCTGTAGCCTAGAGCAGGCAGGACTGGGCCCCTCCTGTTCCCAGGCCAGGCCAGACCCAGAAGGCACAGCTGGGCAGCAGCAGCGTGTTGAGCAAGTAGCGTCTTGCTCTTCGTGGCTTGGCTGAGTGGCCTGGCAACAGCTGTGTAACCTCAGAAAAGGCCGCTTGTCCTCACCCACCCAAGGTCTGCAGTCCCAAAACTGAGGTCCAATAGTGGGCCCCAGAGGTGGAGCAGGGCAGGAGCATCAGTGGGCCCCTCCCACCCCGCTCTGCCCACTTCCTCACCCGTGGGCACAGGGCAGCTGCTGCCTTGCCCCGGGTCAGCCCTGCCCCACTCTGGCGGGTTTCTGACCTGGGTAAGAACAAGACCATGGGGACCCCAGTGGTGGTGGGAGGCCGTGGAGTGGGCAGCTCCCGGAGCCCAGTGAGCCATGCTGCATTGCAGGCGCCTGGAGCAGGACTACCGAGGAAGGCTGAGTCTCCTGCGGGCAGAGGTGGAGGCGGAGCGGGAGCAGATCTGGGAGCAGGCCTGTAGGCGGAGTGCCGTGCTGGAGAAGGACCTGGGCCACCTGCGGGCCGAGGAGGCCAGCTTGCGCCACAGGCTGGGGCTGGCCACAAAGGTAGGAGGCACACTGGGCAGAAAGAAAGGCAGCGTCCTTCTTCCTCTGGCTCTGACCTATGCCCTGGGCTGGGTGTGTGTCCCGTGCCTGCGCACGCCTGCACTGGGCTGCAATAAGCCAAGGCCAGAGACGTGGAGTCCTGCGTCTGGCTCCCGCTCTTTCCACCCCCTCCTCCTAAGGTGACTTCACACCTGACCTCAGCACCTGCAGGACATGACCTCAGCCACCAACCTTGCTCTCCATGGGGCATTTGTTTTTTGCTTCTCGTTTTTTGTTTTTGTTTTTTGCGGTACTGGGGGTAGAATCCAGGATCTCTTTACACTGAGCTACATCTCCAGCCTTTTAAAATTCTTTATTTTGAGCTGGGCGTGGTGGTGCGTGCCTGTAATCCCAGCATTCAAGAGGCTGAGGCAGGAGGGTTGCTGCAAGTTTGAGGCCAGCCTGAACTACATAGTGAGACCCTGTCTCAAAAAACAAACTAAATAATTTTCTTTTATTTTGAGACAAGGTCTCACTAAATTGCCCAGGCTGGGCTGGAACCTATCACCCTCCTGCCTGGGCTTCCTAGGGTGCTAGGATTACAGGCTGCACCACCAAAGACTGTGCATTCTCAGTTTAGTCTCTGGTGTCCCGAGATGCCACCCTCCGGCCTGCTGGTGCAATTTCAAACCCATCCTTGGAGAGCGTCTCAGAAAGGCCGCCTCAGCAGCCCTTTCTTGTATGTGCACTCGTGACCTTTCTGAGTGTGGAGTGAGAAGAGAGGCAAGACAGTGAGGTGATGAGTTTGGTGGGGACCCAGGACTGGCCCCGGGAGGCTGTGGGCCACCTGCCCACTTGCCTTCCAGGGCAGAGGCCACGGCAGCCAGGCACCTGCCACCCATGCAGCCAGGTCACGCGGACACCGCCCCACCTCCCCCTGCCTTCCTGAGCCTCATCAACGCCGCCTGTCTTGTAGGAAAACAACCGCTTACAGCAGGAGATCCTGGAGGTGGTGGGAAAGCTCTCGGACTCGGAGAAGCTGGTCCTGAAACTGCAGGGTGACCTGGAGTTCGTGCTGAGGGAGAAGGCAAGGCCCTCCAAGGAGCCCTGGGTTGGGGGAGCATCGGTCATGAAGAAAGACGCATGGGTGACGAGTTCAGGGTTTCTCTGCGGAAACCCTTGGGCTGGAGGGAAAGCAGTGTGGGGCCTTGCTTCTGTACCGTGGCCCGTGCCATGGCCGCCTTCTGCTAGCCGCATGCCTGAAGGTCAGGGCCAGCGTGTGTGCTGTGCCCCAGAGACCCTTCCCAGGGTGGTGGTGAGGAGGCCCCATGTGCCTGTCCTGCGGGAAAGGGGACACTTGGAGGCCAGGGGAGGACGCTGGAGGCTGTGCCCATCCCCACCAGCTGCTGGGAGAAAGCCCTGTTCTCAGCCAGGGCTGGGTACCTGCCCTCCGCGCCACAGCCTGGCCTCCCTTCCGTGTGCTCGTGTGTTCGAGGCCTCTGCCTGCTAGTGTGCCCATCTTCTGACTTCCAGCTGGAGCCACAGGGCATGGAGCTCAGGGCCCAGGAGGAGCGGTTTGCAGCTGTCTTGAAGGAATACGAGCTCAAGTGCCGGGTAAGTGGCCCGAGCATCCCGGGGCCCCTGGCCTGCCCCAGGGACAGGCCTGGCACACCCCAGGGACAGGCCTGGCACACACTGCCTCCCTCTCCCTCCTGGGTGAGTGGGCTGGGGTGTTCCAGCAGGGTGGTCCAGCGAGGGCGGCAGGAGGATTTGTTCCGGCCAATGCCGCTGCCCGAGGCTGTGCCCAGCTCCAGAGGGGCTGCCGAGTAGAGCAGTGTGAGGGTTCCTGGCTCTGCACCCGGGATTAGTCCTCATAACGACATTTGAGTACAGGAGGAAAACTAAACAAGCAAAACAGAGTTGAGTCGGCCTGATTATTAACAACACAGAAAAATTCTTTGATTGATAAGTAATGTATCACACAGTCCTTATTAGTCATTCATGGTTAGGAGTTAATGTAACAAAAGTTAATTTATATAAAACTCATAAGAAACCTTTTTTGCAAATTGTGTATGTGTGATTAAAGATAAGCGCCAAGCTGGGTGTGGCAGTGCACACCTGTAATCCCAGCACTTGGGAGGCTGAGGCAGGAGGATCACTGTGAGTTCAAGGCCCTCCTGGGCTACACAGTGAGCTGAAGGCCAGCCTGAACTGCATAGTGAAACCCAGTCTCAAAAAGACTAAATAAATAAATAAATAAAGATGAGCACCATAAAAAACCTTCACCCTCAAAGCTGTGCATGGTGGTGCGCCACCTGTAGTCCCAGCTACACGGGAAACTGAGGCGGGACCATCACTTGAACCCAGGAATTGGAGGCCGACTTTGGCAGTATAGTGAGAACCCATGTCAAAAAATAAAGCTCCACCTTGGCCCACCTGCCCCTCCAACATCCTTGGCATTAAGAAGGTTGTGTCCACAGAAGCTAGCATACAGAAACTAGAAAGAACCACATGCCCAACATCTGGGACTGGCGAAAGTTGTCGTGCTAGTGACTTAGTAGAATCCTGCATAGCCTTGATCAAAATGTGGAATGTTTGTAGACATGAAATCCTACAGAGGCAACGTTGCCAAGTGACCAAGGAGAAGTAAACACAGCCTCAGATCAGAGCCACTGAAAACCCCAGACCGGGGCTGAAGGTGTAGCTCATCGGGAGAGTCCATACTTAACAAGCGTGAGGCCCTCCGTTCAATCTCCAGCACCAAAAATCAGACAAAACCAAAGAAACTCCTTATAAGAAACCCCACTGCCAAAAATAAGAAAAATTTAAGGTCAGTAGAGGTTGCTGGTCACTCATGTATTTTTACTGCAGATTTGCTGTAGTGATAATTATGAGTGACATTTCCAAGCCGACCGCCCAGTCGCTCCCTGTCTGAGATGTGCTTAGGGGTCTGTGGTGTTTGGTGTCAGTGTAAGGTGAAGGCTTTCTACTGTAAGTTGCCCTCCAGATTTTACCCCAAGTCACCTCATGCTGAAAATCCAGTTATTTCTGGGGACGTATCATGGTCACTGGTAAGGGTACTACTAATAGCTATCAGGTAATTTCGTAGGATTTGAAAATTGAGCAGATATTGTGGACAGAACACCATCCTCAAAGCTGATTGTTCATCCACAGGGTGCCCTGTGGGCAGGGATGCAGACAAAGCCTTCTTTAGTGATTTCCCGCCAGCTTTTGTTCCTGCTACACTTGCCGTGGCAGAGTGTGGGATGCAGGTGACCCTCACCTGTGCCTGCCAGCTCCAAACCTGGCCCTGGGTGTCCCGTCCTTTCCCTGTGCACTGCTCCTGCCTTGTGAGATCCCAGCTGGCCTGTGTGTCACCCTCCCTGTGGGCTCACCTGGCAAGTTCGGGGGTGAGCTGAGCCCAGGGTGGCAGTGGGGGCCTGGTTACAGGCTGGTGTCTCCTTCCCGTGAACTTGCCGGGAAGACTCAGAACCTAGACCTGTGTAGATTCTCAAACAGATGGCAGCCCTTCAACCTGACTCTGCTATTCTTTCACTTTTGACTCTTGAAATTTTATTTTTTAGACACCAACAGAAATATTTTACATTTTGGTGCAAACCTATTTATTTTAGAAACTTCCTCTTTCCATATTTTGGCAATATTTTTGGTTGTTTCCAACTAATATTTAGACCATTTTTAAAACCTCTGTACTGGCTGTGATGGCACATACCTATAATCCCAGCACTCGGGAGGCTGAGGCAGGAGGATCGCTGTGAGTTCAAGACCAGCCTGCGCTACAAAGTAAGCTCAAGGCCAGCCTGAACTGCATAGCAAGAGCTTGTCTCAAAAAGACAAATAATAATAGTAATAATAATAACAATAAAATAAAGTAAAAGTAATTTCAAACTTAAACCTACGCACATAAAAATAGTACAGTGAGCACCTGCACACCTGACACTCAGGCTCCCCACTTCCCGCATTGCACACCTGGGCGATGTGTGTGCACGCAGCCATTTCTTCCTTCAACCCTGCAGGGTGCACTTTCTGGAGGAGGCTCCTGACCCGCTGCAGTGCTGGGGAGGGGTCTCACACAGCTCAGTAGATTGTTAAATGTTGGGGAATTTTGTCAGTGCTTGTTAAAACTTTGGTAGCTTTAAATTGGCTATGGTGAACGAATTCGCACCATAGAAATTTGCAAAAGCTACAGAGTGGGGCACTGTTTCCAGGAGAAGAGCCCCCGGCCCCCTGCTGAACTCGGAGGACGGAGCCCCGTGGAGCACGTCCACCTGCTGCCCTCCTGGGGCATCTTCTGTCCAAGACAGGAGAAGCCCAGAACCTGGTAGCCTTCAGCTATCCTGCCCCTCTGGAACATTCCCACAGCCTGCCGTTGTCTTTTAGGACATTGTTTATTTTGACCACTACAGACCCTCCTCCACCTCCCTGCTTTTTCGTAGAAACTTTATCATTTTGTGGGTTTGGTTTTTCGTTTGTTTGTTTGTTTACGTTTTCCTATTTGTTTTTCCAGCTAAGCATTGAATCTAGGGCCTTCAAACTGATTATGTATTTATTTTTATTTTTATTTGTTTACTTTTTTTGAGACAGAGTCTTGCTGAGTTGCCCATGCTGAGCACAAACTTGCGATTCTCCTGCCTCAGCTTTCCAGAGTGCTGGGATTACAGGCGCGTGCTACCACACCCACCTTTAAAATTGTGTGATTGACATATAGTTGAATATCCTTACGGCCGCAGTGTGATAATTCAGTACATGCTTACAGTGTGGCAAGATCAAATCAGGGTAATTAGCACGTGTGATCCCTCAAATACTTACCACTTCTTTGTCCTCTCTCTGGTTATTTCCTGATACCTATGGTGAACTGCTGTAAGTGGTGGTCACTGGTGATTGCTTTCATTTCAGCAGAGGCCGGGCCTCTTCTGCTGGCCACTGGGAGGGCAAGCTGTGTCCAGCAGCCCTCATCCGTGTTGTTGATGGCCTGGTTGAGGTGTTACCGGTTTCTACAATGTGTAATGATTGTGAGTTTTTTTTTGTGTGTGTGTGTGTGTGTTTTTTTCCGGTACCTGGAATCGAACTCACGACCTTGCGCTTGCCAGTCAGGCGCTGTGACGCTGAGCTAAATCCCCAGCCCCAATGATTGTGTTTTTCTCCTTGCACTGATGAGCAGTTAGTAGGGGGAAGGTTTTTGGGCATGTAAGTCTCCTGCTCATCCATAAAATCTTAGCGTCCTTGGTGATTCTTGCGCAGTTTGGTCTTTACCATGGTGGTTGGAAAATGCTGGTTTTTTCAGTGCCGCTGCCCCATCTGTAGTACTGTTCACCTTCAGCTGTCGCTAGAAAAGTCCTGTCTATCACTGGAGTGGACCCATGAATTCCCATGTCCCCCCAAAAGGTTTGAAGTTTATTTGGGTGCTTAGTGATTTTGGTGCCCGGATTGTGAAGGCTTTGGCAGTGAGTGTGTCCCAGCTGAGTGCTGGGTCCTGGGACATTCTTGTCACTCGCTGCTCTCTCTGAGCAGATGGCTCCAGCCTTCCTGTCACAGAGTGCCCCGGGCCTGTCCTGCACTTGTCTGGAATCCGCTTTCTCCAGGGGGCATGGTTCCTTCCACGGAGAAAGGTCTCAGGGACCAAGTGCAGAGGCTTGACCAGGCTTCACTGCTTCTGTGTCGCAGTCACCCTTCACGGTCTGCAGCTCCAGAAGTGGTCACTTTGTGCCTTTTCTGTGTGTCACCAACCTTCCAGGATCACTGGATCCTAAACAAAGCACCTGTCGTTCAGATGTGGGTGTTTTCCATATCTCCCTCTGTCCACTCCATCTGTGTTCACACGACACAGGGCACAAAAAAGTCAACAGTGACCGTGCTGCTTAGCTGTGACACCGTGGTCACCTGCAAGCCCAGTGTCACCACCTGCTTATCCCACAGTGGATGCTCCCCGGGGACAGAGCTGTACCAAGCCAACTGGTGGCTGTAGCGCTGGAGAAAGTGTCTGCTCTGCCCCCAGGACCTGCAGGACCAGAATGACGAGCTGCAGGCCAAGCTGGAGAGCCTGCGGGCTCGGCCACCCGGGAGTCGGAGTTGGCAGTGCCCTGCTGGGGAGCCTGGATGCCGCCCGGCAGGTAGGATGTGAGGCGAGGATGGGCTCGCAGGGGTGGCCCAAGACTGAGCGTTCACCCAGCGGGGGACCAGGACGGTAGAGGAAAGGGAGGTTTGCAGGAGCAGGTCCTGGTGACATTGGGGGATGCGTCTACCTGCAGTGGTCTCCAGGGAGGGTCAGTGCCCACCAGGGACATGAAGATGGTTACCTAGGGAGGCGGCTGCAGTGGGCAGGGGGCAGGGACTGTCCTGCATTCCCCGAGGGAGACCCCTGCCTGTGTGTAGAGTCCACACCTCTCAGCTGAGGGGTCAGGACAGTGCTAAGGGCCGTGGTGCAGTGTCCCTGGCACCTCTGGAGACTTGGGGTTTGCCATGGTCCCCTTGCAGGATAGATGGCCTGGCTATCCCGGCCTTCCTGCAGGCAGTGCAGCACGGTCACTGCAGGACACACGCCCTGGCCCCCGGTCATGGCATCCCTGTGCTCCCCCAGTAACTGAGAGCAGTTGGGGTTCCCGCATTGCTCTGAAGCTGCTTATGTAATAAAACAAAAGGCAAGTGTGCCCAGAAGGACCAAGATGGGACCCAAGGGACATAGCGGGGTCCGTGCATGGAGGGCCCTAAACCAACTCCCTCCTGCCTCCAACTCCCTGGGAAACTGAGGAAGAAGCAAGGATATCCTGTTGCCACCCAAGGAGGACAGTGCTGGTACCCATGACCTGCAGCCATTAGCACAGCCTGGCCATGGGGGCGGGTGACGGTGGCTCCTTCATCCCACATGGCCTTGGCAAGAGCCCAGGGTTGGGTGCAGAGACTCCCCAGCTCTGCCAGTCAAGTTCAGGCCTGCCAGTGCCCCCACCAGGGTTAGAGTGACAGCGCCACCCATGGAAACCACATCATTGTGTGGTATTAAAATAATGCAGGACACCCAAAAAATACAGACTCAACAGCGGGGTTCTGTAAGCATGAGTGGAGAGCGCCCGTAGGCTGCTGAGCATGGCCGCTCTGCCCTGTCCACCCATTTCCTCTGCACCTAGCACCACTGGGAGCGCAACTTCCCACACCCTGCATACAGATTGGTGCCTCATCATCAGGCAACGAGGGCACTGACTGCAGGGCCTGGCAGGGTCCCTAGTGTCCTCGGCACGACGGAAGCACAGTGTCCTCTTGTTTGCAGGCATGCTCTCAGACAACTCCAGTCCAGTGAGTCTAGAAATGGAGATTATGGTGGAGCGGATGCGGGAGCGCTGCCAGGAGCTCAGGACCCAGCTGGAGGCCAAGGTCAGGGTCCACCACCAGGGCTGCACACCAGGCCCCTCGCTTGGGAAAGAGGAAAGGAGTGATGGTCATGGGTAGGGTGCGGGTCGAGGCCAGGGTAACCTGTGCCGGAGGTCCGCCCTGCTCGTCCGCTGTAGGGAATCACGATGACCACTTTGTCTGGAGCCTAAGTGCCTTGGTGGGGACTTCAGCTTTGTGGCCAGGACCTCCGAGACCAATGTGTCTCCTGCTCAGTTGCTGGACTCCTGAGGGGCCGGGGGGAGCCATCCATGGCTTGCTGTCTGTCTGCCTCCTTGGCAAACTTGCCGTGCTGCCTCTGTCCCGCAGGTGGGCCGACAGGAACCCCATGGTCTTGCGTGCCTGTGCCTGGATCCCCTGCTCCCACCTCTCCCCCCATCAGCCCATTGGATCAGCGAAGGCGCTGAGCCTCATAGCTGTCACTTGCTCTGCCCTCCTCTTTCCACCTGGCCTTCCGGCCCTACCGAGGGGTCATCATGAAGTCACATTGGGACCCCAGAGCATTGCTGTCAGACGTGTGACTGCCTGTCCTGCAGACGCTGGGCTTGGACATCCAGCAGACGCCGCTCGTTTCTGCGTTGTCTTGCCAGGTGGTCCCTTTCAGAACCTCCGGTTTAGCACCGCTCTCATTTCTCTTTAGGTGAATTCCTACGAGGGGGAAATTGAGGCCATGAAGAACAGTTTTGAAAAGGAGAGGATGGAGCTGCAGCAGGCACGGCAGCGGGAGGTCGCAGTGCTGGAGGCCCAGAGAGCAGACCTGGAGGCGCTGTGTGCCAAGTCGCAGGAGGTCATCCTGGGCCTGCGGGAGCAGCTGTGGGACGCGGCAGGCAGATCTGAGTCCTCCGGGGCCGGGCTGACCTCCTGCTGCGCACAGGCGCTCTGTGACCTGGCCCAGTGGCTGGACCAGCACACGCGGCGGCAGCACCAGGGCGAGCTGCAGCAGATCAGGTCTGCGCACAGCTTGGGTGGACCAGGGTTTCCTGCTGGGAATGCACAGCAGCACCTGCTGCCGGGCAGGGAGGAGGGTAAAGGAGGCACCTGTTGCCTCCTAGAGTTGTGGCACTGAGTCAGAAATGTGTGTGAAACAGCACAAGTAACAGCAGCTTGCTGAGACACATTTAATCTCTGCCTTGCCAGGCTAGTGGCCCGGCCACCTTCATTTACTACATTCGGTTTCCAGGATGTGGCGGGTGTGGACAGGGAGACAAGAACAAGCCAGAAGCCCAAAAAGGGGAAAGACGGTTAACTGGGCTTAGTGAGGTTCCTGAAAAGCCTCAAAAAAAGGCTTATTTGGAAAACTAGACTATTTTTGTTTGTTTGTTTTTTCATTTTTTGAGACAGGGTCTTGTTACGCAGTTTAGGCTGGTCTTGAACTCACTGTATAGCCCAGGCTGGCATTGAACTCACAACGATCTTCCTGCCTCAGCCTCCCAAGGGCTGGGATTATAGGCGTGCACCACCACGCCCAGCTCGCCCAGGCTGGCCTTAAACTTGTGGCAATCCACCTGCCTCACCCTTCCAAGTGCTGGGATTACAAATGTGCACCACGACGTCTAGTTCAGAGTGTGTTCTTGTGTGTTAGAGCTATTGGAAAATGCCACCTGCCTCATCCCTGAGGCGGACCTAAAGGAGGTATGGGGCTATTTAGGGGACACATTGCTGGCCCAGGGACCAGGACCTCCCCTGACTGGGACTGGGGACCCAAAATACCTTCCTGGGTGGCCGTGGCCCTGATTGGGATGAGGGTGACACTCTCCTTGGTCGGGGAGTTGGGGTGGCATGAGTGCATGGGACCCGCCCCAAGGACGCAGGCCATGGGAGCTATGGCACTGACCGTCAACCCCCTGGACCTAGAGGAGATGTAATCTTTTAGTTTTGTGCTTGTCCTGATCTCTTTTCACTTAAAACCGGAGCAGATGGAAGGGACTCAGCCTGCATCTTTGTAGGCCCCTGCAGTAGCCAAGGGACAGGCCTGGAGGGCAAGGCAGGCCCATGCTGGCCGCTGTGGGCCTCAAGGCCAGCATCCTGCTCTGGACTATGGGGCAGCACTTTAATTCTGTGATACTGTGATCCCTGTACATTTAAGCCATCACTGTGGCATGTGGCTTCCAAGCTGCTTCTTCATGGAGAACCTAACCCGAGGGCCAGATCCCATGGGACTCTGAGGAGGATCCCAGAGTGGACAGAGGCCTTGGGCTCAGGGACATGAAGTTAGGTGCAGCCGGGCAGCTGGGAGATAGTCATCAGGCAGGAGAGTGAAAGCCGGGCAGCGGGGAGTGAGGTGTGTGACCCATGGTTTCTCCCCAGGCGGGAGGCTGCAGAGGAGCTGAGCTGGATGCTGTCCCAGCTGGAGGCCCAGCACGACGTACGCTGCAAGAGCCTGGCACTGCGGCACCAGCACGAGAGGGATTGGCTGCAGCAGGCGCACCTGCGGTGGGAGGAGGACGTGTTTGCGCGCTGCCAGGAACAGCAGCAGAAGCTGCAGGCAGCCCTGGGCAAGGAGCAGGCGCAGATGTGCAGGTCTTTTGCCCTGGAGAGGAAGAGACTAGAGCGTGCTCACCGCGAGCAGGTGGGGGGCCTGGTCCGGGAGGCAGAGGCGCTGCGGGCTCTGCTGCAAGGTGGCACCACAGTGACCATAGGCAGGGAGCAGAAGGGGGCACCCGGCCCCTCGTCCCCGTGCCCAGGCATCCATGGAGGAACAGGGGAGCTGGCGGGAGACCGGCCTGGCCAGCCCTGCTGTGTGGATGCCGTGTCCAGAGGGCCCCCGGAGAGGCTTGATCACGGACAGAGCAGCTGGGTCCTGCTGGATGCAAAGGAGGCGACTTCTGTCCCCTGCGAGGAGGGGTCACACGTGCAACCCCCTGGGCAGAGCAAAGGGGCCAACCCCAACGAGCCAGCACCTTCTGCCAGAGCCGTAGTGAGCCCAAGGCAGCCTGATGTCCAGGAGCTGCCCTCATGGGGCACAGAGGGAGATGGGGCCCTGCAGACCTGGCTCCAGCACCACCCAGGGCCCCTGCCGCCCCACCCTGAGCTCCCAAACCCAGCAGGGGAAACTGAGGCAGAGATGGAGAGAGAGAAGAATGACATGAAAACCAAACTTCTGCAGCTGGAAGATGTCGTCCGGGCTCTCGAGAGAGAAGCAGATTCAAAAGAGAATGACAGGTGTGTCTCTTTCTTTTCTTTCTTTCTTTCTTTCTTTCTTTCTTTCTTTCTTTCTTTCTTTCTTTCTTTCTTTCTTTCTTTCTTCATTTCTTTCAGTACTGTGGATTGAACCCAGGGGCTTCACACTGAGCTGTATCCCATGACCTTTTAAATTAATTTTTTGAGAGTGTCTTGCAAGGTCACTTAAGTTGCCAGGTCTGGGCTCAAATTTGCAGCCCTCCTGTCACAGCCTCCCAGGGTTACAGGCACGTGCTGGTGTGCCAGGCTTGGTCTCCCGGTCCCAACTGCAGACCTAGACCTGCCAGGCTCTATTGCCAGCAACTCTTGCATGCTGCTTCCCCACCAACTGTCTCAGGCTGCAAGCTGACTACAGAGCTCTCTGTGCAGGCGCCACGAGCCCGGCCCAACTCCCTGTCCCCACCTCTGGTCCTGCAAGGACAGGGATGGCGTGGGGGTCCCACGGTGGTCCTGGGCTGGCTGTAGCCCTCTTCTTGCTGACCCTGTGAGGTGGATGTGGGACTGTGGCCTGATCCATGTGCCTGTTGTGGAGGCGGCCTGGCGGCTCCCAGGCTGCCAGAGGGCAGCACCAAGGAGCTGTGCTTGGAAAGGGCATCCGGGTGCCGTGTCCTGGGCTGGCCTGGGGTGAGGGGCACTGAGTGTCCCAGCGGCTGGAGATGTTGCCGCAGATGTCAGTCTGTTGGCCAGGTGCCCAGGTATGGAGCCAAGAAGCTCCTGCGCCATCTCCTGGGGGAGGCAGGTGGCATGTGCTCTGTCACCCATGTGAGGACGCTGCCGCCCTCCCAAGCCCTTGTGCGCTGGCCTCGTTGGTCCCTGTACAGCCCACTGCATTCGCTCCCATGGATGCAGACCGGAGGTTGTCCCATCACTGGTCTGGCCAGTGCCATCTGTGGTCACAGATGGGTGAGGAGAACATGCTCGTGAGGGCGTGGGCCGTGGTCCGGCTCCGCAGGAGAGCTTGCCCCGGGTTCCAGCACCAGCACCTAGGAACGGAGACATGCGGTTTATAGCAAAGCAGAGAAGTGACTGAGTGCACCAGCCTGCTGAAGGCAGGAAGCACCAGTGACTGACGGGAAGCCCCCGCACCCCAGGCCCGCCCTCTGCCGCTGCGTGCCCGTCCTGTTGGTTCTGTGCCTCTGCCTCTGGGCAGGAGGCCCTTGTGTACGAAGCCTGTTCTCACTACCATGACATCCAGATCACCCCATCCCTAAAGCTGCAGTCGTGCTGTGACAGGAGGGGCATGGTAGGCCTGGTGCCATGCACGTCCTCTGGGGGTGCTGCAGACACCATTGGCCTTCTATAAGTGGACACAGAGTGGGCGCAGGCACCCAGCAGCTTGGTGGCACCCCTATCCCATGCTGGCCCACCCCTGCCTCCTGCTCTGTCCCCAGCCTCTTCTAGATAAGCAGGGAGCCCTCTCCAAGCCCCACAGCTGCAGGGCCCCCGCTGGGCAAGCGTCAAGGCCATTATCAGAAGAGAAAGCCAATCCCAGAGAGGGCAGTGCCACTGAAAAGAACAGCCAAATCCAGCTCGACATTGCTGTCCCCACACACTCTGTCCTGAATCATTTGGTATCATCTCAGATATTATGATACTTTACCACGAAATACTTCTGCATGTTATTTTGTAAGAACAGATGCTCTCTAAAATAGCATAGGCCAGGGATATAACTCAGCGGCACAGCACCTGCTGAGCAAGCGCGAGGTCATGAGTTTGATTCTTGGTACCACAAAAAAAAAAAGAACAGATGCTCTCTGATAGTATTGTTATCTCTGCACTATTCCCATCACACACAAAGAACTTTTTTTTTTTACACATGAGGAACTTAACATTAATACAGTGATCTTTTTTTCTTTTGTGACACTGGGTTTGGGACCCAGGGCCTCACACATGCTGGCCAGGCACTCACACTGACCAGTACCCCAGCCCGCGGTGCTGGTGTTTAATGTACCCTCTACTTTCAAGTCTCCCCAGCTGTTCCAGTGTATTCTTTCTGGATCACTTCCTGGTCCCCAGGTCCAATCAAGGATTATGTTATGCATTTAGTTATCATTTTTCTAGCGTCCTTTCTGCTTCAGCTAAAACACTCTCTCAATATTTCTCTGTCTATCTACCCCTCTTTCTCTCTGTGTCTCTCTTTATCGCTCTCTCTGTTTCTCTCTCTCTGTCTCTCTCTCTCTGTCTCATCAGTGGACTGAAAATCAAACACAGGGGGCCTTGTGCTGCAGGCAAGTGCCAAGGCTGCACCCCACCTGCCTAGGCCTTCCCACATTACATGGTGCTGACCTGACTCTTGCCCCCAACTCCTACTTTTGAGGACCCCGGAGGTGACAGAGAACCCTCTCAGGTAGACCCAGCATCCTCTGCTGTATCAGGGAACAAGCTCACAGGTTCTGAGGGGCAGGACATGGACTCTTTCACAAGCAATGGCGCCCCTTCCCCACCAGAGCCAGGATCTGCCTTTGGTGTATATTTTACACTCTACCTTTTTGTTGAAGTGTTCTATACATATGCAGTTGGAGGACTTTCTGACATCGGACATATTTGTGTTTGCAGCAGTCAGAATGAGGAACAGCTGCCCCTCGGGGTGGCCGCTGGCCTGACGTCTGCCCCCAGAGACTAATTCTGCTTGATCTTGTGCCTTCTTAAAAGGAAGCACGTGACGCACACGCTTCCGACTGGCTGCTCTGCCTGCTGGCAGGATGCGCCCGTCCTTTGCTTGAGCTGCGGTTCATTCATTTGCGTGGCTGTGGAGGGGTCTGTTGTGTGAATAGACCACAATCTACTTCTCTTCTGTTGACGGGCGTTTGGGTTGTTTCACTGGGGGCTGTCGCTGCTGCAGGGAATGTTTGTCCTTGTTTTTTGGAACATCGATGTGAGCATGTGCCTCAGGATGGAACTGTTGAGTTGTGGCGAAAGGTATGGTTTTCTCCTGCTTAGAAAGCCTGTCCGATTGCACATGTGGGTCTGTGTGTTAGGAAGCCTTCCATCATGGCTGTGAAAATACCGTCTCTCCTCCCGCCGAGCTCTGCAACTGGAAGTCAGGTCCTTGCACTTTCTCCACTGGTCTTCTCTTTTCTCTGTACCCCGTGCTGGGTGGTTTTCCCTTGCATGACTGTACCGTCACATCACTGATGCAGCTGTTTCTTTCTTCAGCTGTCATAGGGCTCAACACTTTCAGTGAGTTTTTATTGATACTTATTTTTTGTTTATTCCTAAAAATTCTATATGATCATTGGTGTTTTCTTTTTGTTATCCTTTAATTTCCATCTTTTATTTATGTAAATATCTCATAATATTTTTTAGTTTATCTCAGATAATTCCAGTATCAAGTTCCTAGAGCGTCCAACTCTGGTTTTTTCCTGGTTGGGTTGTCTTTGTTTTGGATAGCTTTTGCATGTATGTTTGGATGAATTTTGACTGTGAGCTCCTATTTACCTGATGTTACTCTCTGGGAACCTTGGCAGCCGTAACAGGGAATGCTTTTCTGCAGAATGGTTTGTATTGCTCTTGGAGAGAACTGGGGAGCTGCTCAGCTAGGACCCCTTGAAATTCTTTTGCGGCCTGGCTGCCCGGATGTGATTCTGATTTGATAGAATTGATAGGATTTTTTTTTTTTCTTTTTGGATGATTCTGGGAATGGAACCCAGGACGTCATACATGCTAGAGAAGTGCTCTACCACTGAGATACTACTTCCTCAGCCCTTTTTCAATTTTATATTGAGCCAGGCATGGTGGCATGCCCCTGTAATCCCAGCACGCAGGAGCATGAGGCAGGAAGGTCACTGCAAATTCTGTACTTTTTTTTTTTTTTTGAGACAGGGTCTCACTGTGCAATTCAGGGTGGCCTTGAGCTCACTTTGTAGCCCAGGCTGGTCTTGAACTCACAACGATCCTCCTGCCTCAGCTTCCTGAGTGCCGGGTTTACAGGCGTGCACCACCATGCCCGGCTAAATCAAATTTTTTTTTTTTTGGTACCAGGAATTGAACTCAGGACCTTGCACTTGCCAGGCACGCCCTGTGCTGCTGAGCTGTGTCCCCAGCCCGATCACTGCAAATTCAAGGCCAGCCTGAGCTACATAGTGATTCAAGACCAACCTGAACTACGTGGCAGGACCCTGTCTCCAAAAAAAATTTTGGGGAGATAGGGTCTCCCTGAATTTCCCAGGCTAGTCTTAAACTTGCCTCAGTCCTCTGAATAACTGGGACCACGGGCATGTGGCACCATGCCTGGCTGCAGTGTCCAGAGGAGGTGGGCAAAAGGCAAGTGTCCCTGCTACACCCTCTGTGCCTTGCCAGTGATAGTACTGACATGGGCTCTGGTGCAGGGTTTGTGTGGCTTCCTGCTTAGCTTCCGGGTCTTCATTTTCTTTGGGCCTTGGAGGGGTACACCGCTTTTGGTGAGGACAGTGGCTGATGTTCACTGTGCCCTGCGCAGGTGCTGGGTGCTGGGTGCTGGGTGTGGAGCGCCAGGCTGGAGAGGAACCTGCAGCCACCTGGGCTCTGGGAAGTGGCCCGCCTATGGCTGTCTCTCCTTCATTCTGGGACCAGTGATAGTTTGAAACACAGGCCTCATGTGTTTCCTTCCCCTGCTTGAAACTACTGCTTTTAAAATTCCAGTGACTTCTACTTCTTTATTTTTTTCTTTAGATTCTCGAGAGTTAAAGGAAGTCATATGAAGGAGATACTTCCGCTTAATATAAGCACAATACATAATGAACATGAAGAAATCATGTGGCTTTAGGGCTTTTTAGGTTAAAAGACAGAGAAGGTGAAGCCAGCTAGAGACCAGTGGGTTGGAGGTGTAAACGTCAGCCAGGCCCACTTGCTTTAAGAATAAATGCTCTGATGCTGGGCATGGTGGCAGAGGCCTGTAATTGCAGAACTCAGGAGGCTGAGGCAGGAGGATTGCTGCCAGCCTGGGCCACATAGTGAACTTAAAGCCAGCATCAGTGAGATGTGAGACCCTATCTCAAAAAAGAATAAATGCTCTGGAACCACGTATGAGCCTCACACATCCTCACGAGTGATCTGTGCTGGTTAACAGCGACAGTGTCACCTCCACAGGCTGGAGTTGTCAAAAGGCAGAGCAGCTGCCAGGCAGGTCGCACGGTGGCTGCTCACTGCTGCTTCTGCCTCAGTGAGGACCACCCTGTGTCTCGGGTTAGTGGCCCCTTCCTCCGTTTCCCCTCTCCGGGCTGACCTTGGGTGCCGGAAGTGCTTGTGGATACCGGGCCTCTGCTCCTGTTCTCCTGGCTCTGCGGCAGTCCGCGGGCAGGAGACAGGCCCTGCGCTGTCCTGCTGTCTCCCCCAGCACTCGGTGTCAGTGGCTGCACCTCCCGGGTGTGGGCCGCGCAGTCACAAGATGGAAGGGTAGGCCAGCCGTGGACAGTGACGAAGCCCATGTGCTGGACCATGGCGAGCCACCACCAGCAAGCAGTTTAGAGGCTGCGACAGCCATGCTTCCTGTGGCGGAGCCAGAGTACAGTGTGTGCTCCCAGGAGGGGAAGGCAGGATCCGCCTCCTCTGAGGAACAGACACGGTGCCCGGAGCCTCCAGTAGTGGAGCCAGGCTGAACCTTACCCGGCTTTTCACAATTTTGCAGGGTGGAGCTCCAGAGGCTGTCTGAAGAGAACAGTTTGTTGAAAAATGATCTGGAGAGGGTTCAGCAGGAACTTGGAGCCACAGAGCACGTGAATGACAAGCAGAGGTAAGGCGCATCTCCTTGGGCCACCTGGAGCTGCGGAGCTGTGACGTGCAGGGAGTGGCAGATCCGCCCTCGGTCCAGAGGCCTGCTGATATCTGAGCAGACCAACAGGCACAGCCTGGCCTCCTCCCGTGGTGAGCGGCCGCCCTCCCTCGCCTGCCTTGGTCTTGGACATGGAGCCAGCGCATGTGCACAGGGCCACAGGCAGGCGCAGCCTGGGTGGCTCCAGACCTAGCTCTACAGAGGATCCTGGCTGTGCCTTGGGGCAGGCAGTGTTTTGTGGGGGCTGGGCCACTGCTGGGGCCCCTCAGCAAGCAGTCTGCTTATTCACATCCTGATAATATTCCAGCAGTGTCATTCCCCAGGGTCACTGCCAGTGTAGATATGTCAGTGAGGCAGAGCGGAGGCGGGGCCTGGGCAGAGGGGCTGCGGCCACGGTGAGGTTGGGCAGGCAGGGCCTGCACCGTGGGTGTGGGCTGGGGAGGTGGCTTTCTGCACTCGGTGCTGCGGCCGGCCGCCTCCAGGGACAGTTTGTCCTTTTGAAACTGCCTGTTTCAAGACAGGCTCAGCTCTGAAATGCTGAGGATGTGGATCTGATCGGATAGAGTTGCAGCGGTGTCTGTAGAGTCAGCACAGTTGCTGTCACGTTTCAGCAACTCCTCGATCCCACAGAAATCACTCTTCCCCGGAGTGCACTGGGCCTTTCGAGCAGCAGCCTCAGCAGATGTGAGGCCGCATGGTCTTCATGCTGCTGCTGGGAATAGTTGCCAGGAGGGTTTCTGGGTTTGTTCGTTTGTTTTTGAGGCAGGCTCTCACTACGTAGTTCAGGCTGCCTTTGCACTCACTTGTAAACAAGAAAAAAAGTCCGTGTAACTGTGTGACTGAGGAACATCACAAAGGGGTCTGTCCTTACGACACTGCCCATGTAGTACTTCTCTACACATCAGCAGCTCTGCAGCCCCACACCCCCCTGATTTGGGGTTGGACTGGCTCCCCAGATAATAAGGGGAGTGTACACTGGATGTGTCGTTCTTTCCAGCTGGTACATTTGTCAGACGCTCCTGCTCCTCACTGTGAGCAGTGCCAGCCGCATGGCACCCAGGCAGGCAGAGCCCAGTCTCTCTGTGGCTGCAGATCCAAGCCGCTGTGGCCCCACACGTGACAGCCAGGAAGAAAGACGCTGCGCGCTCCCCAGTGACGCTGTTGATTGTGCTTCTTCCACAGGCAGGAAATTGAGGCTCTGAAGAGAGACAAGGAAAAGGCCTGCTCTGAAATGGACGAGCTCAGCATGCAGGTCAGGTATTGACCTGCATGGTGTGACCCTGTGCCCCCCACCCCATTGCTGTGCCATAGTTTTCTACTTGCAAAAAAGGAAGTAGTGAAGTTTCCTATAAAAGATTTGAGAGTGAGTTGCCGGCCCCCAGCTGCCCTCATAATTGGGAAGATGGCATGCACATGTAGGCCTGCCTGTCCCGCCTGCTGGCGTCTACGTCACTGGATCACTTGTCACTGTTCTGTATGTTGGAAATTATTTCTAAACAGGCTTTAAACACTCAAGTTGAACAGAAAGAAATCGACTAGTTTATTCATACCAGCAGTCCAAGGAAGGTTCCCTTTCATTTCTACTAATATCCTCAGAGAACACAATGACCGTGAATCAGTATGGTAAATCAACATTAATTTTCACCAAAAATGGTGATAAACATGAGAGAACAATCTCACCAGACAGAATTGCCAGGAGCCCCTGATGTACAGACCCCTGAGATTCTGGGGAAGGGAAAAACTGAGATTCTCAGAGAACTTGCCAACCTTGGACAAACCCAAACTGAAGCAACTTCGGGGACCTCTGTGTGTTTATTAAACCCTCAAAACCAGCATGGTGTCAGCCCCATTCTTGGAGTGTGCCCCGCCCACAGTGCTGAGCTTCGGAGGCCAAGGCCCTCAGTGCTGCAGGAACCCTCACCCCAAAACTGACCACGGTGGGAAAAAGCAAGTAAGCAGAAATGTGGTTTGTGTGAAGTCAGTCATGACAATAAATGGAGACTGCTTGCGTTTCCGTGGTGAGAGGCTTAGGGCCAACTTCCCCCTGCTGCTTCCCTGCCTGGTGTGTCCTCATTCGCCCTTGGGCATTTGCTGACAACCTTCTATCCTCTGGCCGGCAGAGGGTGTGAGAAAAAAGCAAAGTATCCCATTCAGTAGACGCACGCTGCCTGCCAAAAGCTCTTGTATGTCCAGTGACAAAGAGCAGGAGAGACTTTGAAGAGGTCGTCATGCTTCAGGGTTAAGTCAGTTTTTAAACTTTAAATTGCTTACAGTGCTGTAGAAGTAACCTCGGGGGAAACGAGGCAGATGCGAATGGTGCTCAGCCTGGGAGACTGTGGGCGCAGCACAGTAAAGCCTGGTGGCGGAGGCCTGCTTCTCCTGGGGAACAGCAGCAGGTCCTTGCACTGCTGACGTCTGGGCTGGGTCAGGTCTGCACTGCAGGGTGCCGGACACCCGACCTCCTGATGCCAGCACCTTCTAAGTGCTTGCCAAGTGCTTCCGGAAAGCAAAGCTGTTCCTGCTTGGGAACCACTGGATTGAGCTGAATGGAGCTGCTGGTTTAAAAGCTTTTTTTCCGTCTGTTTTAACCTTTTTTGCTGTAGAATCAGAAATACAAGAATGAAGTGTCACAGCTCAGCCACAGGGTCCTGCAGCTGGAAGGGGTCGCCTCTACCCATCAGGCCCAGAACGAGGAGAACCTCGCAGCTGCTCAGCTGTTAACACAGAGGCTGGAGGAGGCAGGGCACCGCGAAGAGCAGCAGGTGAGGGCAGCAGGAGTTGTGGGTGCAGACAGAGGAGGGGCCTAGAGGTGGGCATTCTGCTGCACGCACAGCCCAGGTGTGCCAGGGCAGGGGAGTGGCTGACTGGCCAGGCATAAACAGCAAGGTGCCTGGAGCCTGTGCTAATTTATTTATTTATTTGTTTATTTATTTATTTGGTACTTGGAATTGAACTCAGGACCTTATGCTTGCCAGGCAGGCGTTTACACCACTGAGCTATATCCTTGGCCCTTATAGAAATGGTATTTTACTTCAGCTATCCTTTTTTTTGTACCGGGAATTGAACTCAGGACCTTATGCTTGCCAGGCAGGCGCTTGTGCCGCTGAGCTACATCCCTGGCCTTAGGGCAGGGGAGAGGGGCCAAGACCCAAGGGAATACCTACCTGGATGAGAGACAGGGCTTATGAAGACTTAGTTCCCTCTTCTCAGTGGGACTCTGATTACAGTAGTACAAAGAAAGGCTCTGATTTAGCAGAGCAGATTCATCATATTATAGTTCCTTAAGGAAGACATTAAAATGGTATTTAAACAAGGCCAGCGTGGTATTTAAAAAATTGTAATAATTTTGCTAATAAAATTTGTAATAATTTTGCTAGTAAAATTTTGCTAATTTGTGGTTTAGCAGTTGTAAATGCATATTATATATACCAGCAGTGGGGCACTTGTAAGATTTCCATGTTAAACCGGGCACTGTTGCAAGTTTGAGACCAGCCTGGGCTACAAAGTGGGCTCAAGGCCAGCCTGAACTGCATAGCGAGACCCTGTCTCAAAAAAAAGACAAAAAAAAAATTTCCATGTTAAAATTTAGAGAATTATTGCTTAATCCATAAAGAAATGCCATGGGAATTTCACTTTACTGAAATAAATAACATTGTTGATTATTATTATAATTTTAATTGCTATGAATGGTATTAATTAATATTTATATTTGGGCAGTAGTTATTCAAATTCAAGCAATTAACTAGATTCGGCCCATTTATAGACTTTATTAATTTTATTAGCAAAGAGACTGAGAAAAGTAATTAGATCCATTTGTACCACCAGTGGTACAAACCACCCAATGGGACAGTCGGGCATGCATGGTTCAAGCCAGCTATAATGATCAAATTCGAATCAGAGCTTCCCAGCAGCAAGACACAGATTACACTCCATCGTGAACTTGTTAAGAGTAGCAGGAAAGAATAGGTAGACTAAGGACAGGTTAGGGCCCAGGGGCCACAGGCTAGATAGGAGCTCATCCCCAAGGTTGGAGGGGCGGGCCAGAGAGGAAATGGGCACTGGTGGTGGGACAGGAGACCACCAATTCGCAGCAGGGGGCAGGGGCAGTTATCCTCTCCGTGGTGCCCCGCTCCATCCTGGTCACCATCAGGAGGAGGTTTTGCAGAGTAGACTACATAGTAGGGACATGAGCTGGCTTTGTCCTGCTGATGAGCAGCATGCCACGGGACAGGTGACTAGCGTAAGGGCAGGTAGTGGCTCCTACAGAGAGCGCTGATTTGCCCAGTTCCCAGATCATAGTCGTCTGGACAGTCCGGGCATGCTTAGAGACTTGCCTGACTGGGCCAGTCTTGGCGATGCAAAAGGGGCACCTCAGGAAGATGGTGCTGAATGCCCCAGTTTTTCGCAGGAGCAATGCAGTTGCAGAAGGGAGTCAAATGGTTAAATGCTGATGCTAGAACAGTGAACTGGTGTACGCTTCTCAGGGGAGAGCTTGCCACAACGTGTGTCAAGAGCCTCAAGAATATCCACGTTCCCTCATGGGGACTGTACCAAAGAGCACTGTGGCAAGACTTAACTGCAAGTATTTTCATCACTGTGCTATTGGTAATAGTAACAGACCTGAATCCATCGGAATTGTGAGCAGTAGGTGATGAGTCACTATGGTGCAGCTGCCGAAGACCCGGCTCTCCAATAACATCTGACACCCCGGGGCTGCAGTCTGAGGAAAGTGGCCCAGCACCCCTCTGCCCTGGGAAATGCACGAGGGAGTGACGACAGGATGTCAGGCGGGGTCAGGTGCCGTGGGAGACTTACCTTTTGCCGTGTTTGATTTCTGTAACAGTTTAAAGGTTCTGCATTAAGCATGTAGTAGGCTAAGTTATTTCTGCTGCTGTCCCTGTGACATTAATGTTTTCTAACAGTGTGCCCAGATCCAGAAGCTTGAAGCTGAACTTCAGCACCTGAGTCAGGAGTGTCAGAGCCTGAGGCTGGCATGGTCAGAGCTGACAGAGAACCAGAGGGAAGGCCGGGACCAGGTGGGTGTGCACGGTGGCTGGAGGTGCTCTCCCCAGTCTTGGGCTGAGATGGCAGGGCCAGGTCTGGTCCGGCTCAGGCTGGCTGTGGGCCGGCTGAGGGCATAGAGCATGTCAGGCATGTTCTCCCTTCCCCTGGGCCGTGTGGCCACTCTGTACCTGCCTCAGAACGGCCCCTAATGAGCTGTGACTCCCACTCCTGGCAGTGGAGTCTCAGGAGAATTGGAGTGAAGTCACCAGGTCTTCTAGGGCATCAAAGATGAAGTCCCAGGGAGAGACTGGTGGAAGCCGGGCTTCGATCTGGCCTCCAGCTGCTCAGGAGCAGGCGATGGCTGAGTGGCACGTGGGTGGGTGTGAGGTTCACGGCTGCAGCAGGCCCTGTGCTCTATGGCTCCTGGCCCTCAAGGTTTTCGGAGTGGTCACACTGTGCCCTGGCCCTGGCTGGAGGAATCGCTGTGTACCGCTGGCGTGAGTGACGCTACTTCGCACAGATGGAAAGTTACTTGATTACGCTCAGATTGTACATTTTGGCCAATTTCCATTTTGAAGTAAATAAGCCCTGGGGCGATTCCTTCTGAAACATGAGTGGGTGTGGAATCTTCTTCTGTGGCAGGAGGAGGAGCGGCAGGACACCCGGGAAGGGCAAGGAGAAGAGGCGGAGCGACTCCTGCGGGAGGAGCTGGAGCGGGTGAGTGGCAGCAGCTCTAACCCCGAGTCCCCTCCCCAAGGGCCCTGAGGGCTCCTCACAGAGTCCAGAGCGCCCCGTTCCCATGTGGGACTCCACCTCGGGGGTCTACACTTCAACCAGGGAGTGAGCAAATTATCTTCAGATTAACAACTGGAACTAATCTGCAAAAGATGGGTTTTATCAAGTACTACCCCCCACTGCATTGTATGTCGTGTTTCTTTGGGAAACTGTTTGGGAACCTTTGAGGCGAATACATCATTGGCGCATTCAGGGTTGGTCAGGCACTCAGCAGACACCCCAGCTCCAGCTGTGGGCCAAGGCACTCGTCAGGGCAGACCTCAGAGGGGACCTTCCGCTCTGGCGGTGGGGTCGAGCCTCTATGTCAGGGTGACTGGCCGGGATAGCACTGAGGGTGGAGGCGGCGGAACAGACAGGTGGCGCTAGCCGAGGAGCTAGCGTTAGAACCGGTGACCCACGGCTCTGAGACGCCCCAGCTGGTACCCCAGCTGGTGCCCCAGCAGACACCAGGTGGACTTTAGCCTTAACTCTTTCTCCCCCGAAAGGTCTTGTGCATACTAAGCAAGCGGTCTACCACTGAGCTACCAGCAGCACCCTGGTCCCTTGTAAATACTTTTTTGAGTCAAGGTCCTGCTAAGTCACTAAGTTGCCCAGGCTGAGTTCAAATTTGCAGTCCTCCTGCCTCAGCCTCCAGGAGTGCTGAGATTACAGGTGTGTGCCACCACACCCCGCTTGCCACTGTACTCAGTATGTGTCAGCTCTCCAAGAACCTGAATTATGGCTGGGACAGATGTGGCATGCATGCGCAGGGTGGGCAGGCTGGTCGGCTGGTCTTGTGACACTTCTGCGGGGGGATTCACTGTAAACATGGCTCCCCTCTAGCTGGAGAAGAGCACCAGATCCAGCCTGCTGCTTAAGGAGCTCTATGTGGAAAACGCTCACCTCATGAAGGCTCTTCAGGTTGCTGAGCAGAAGCAGTGGGGTGCTGAGAAGCAAAGCTGCATCTTGGAGGAGAAAGTTCGCGCTCTCAGCAGGCTGATCAGCAAGCTTGCACCTGCCTCTCTGTCTGTGTAGGCTGCTTGCCCTCCTAGAATTCACCCTAGGGAAGATCTTTTGACATTACACAGGAGGGCAGCGACATCCACTCTGCGCCAGAGGCCAGGAAGTGTGGGTGGGGCAGCGGGCCACACCCTTGTTCGTGGTCCTGGGCTCTTCCCCACGTCAGCTCCTGGTTTTGCCATTCAGGCAACTCTGGAGCTTAGCAAAGAGCAACTAAGAGAAATGGTGAAACACTTAGTGCTGTGCCTTTGTCTGGAAAAACACAGTGCAGAGTCAGGAATCCGCATGCTCTTCCCATTTCACTGTGCTCAGAGCTGGGATCGCGAGAGCTCTGGATGCTGGGTCCACAAGCTGCAGTGACTCCGCGGGCTGCCATCCTGCAATCGGGAGGGACCAGCACCCCTTGAGGGACTGCTGGGGTGTCTGGGCAGGGCTGGTTTAACTAAGGTCTGCAGACTCAGGGACATGGTGTGTTGCACATTCGATCATTTCCGCATTGAAATGTCATAGCACTGGAGATTGCACATATGTAAAAAAAAAAAAGTGTAGTTTTGTGTCCGCAATATACATCATGGTCATTTGGGTTTGCAGAATGTAGAGAACTTTAATGTGAAATCACTGTATTTTGCCATAAATTCTTTTCTATTAAAACTGACTTCATTTTTTTAAATTATAAAATATTAGCTGGGCATGGTGGCACACACCTGTAATTCCAGTATTCACAAGGCTGAGGCAGGAGGATCACCATGAGGTTGAGACCAGCCTGGGCTACATAATCGGTTCAAGACCAGCCTGCACTACAAAGGGAGACCTTGTCTCAAAACAAAACAAAATTATAAAATATTTCAAGCATTTAGAAAAACAGTTTTGTTTTGTTTCACAGTACTGGAGATTGAAGCCAGGGAGCCCTAAACTACATGTCCAGCCCTTTCATCATTTTATTTTGAGACAGAGTTTTGCTGGCTTTGAACTTGTGATTCTCCTGCATCAGCCTCCCAAGTGGCTGGGATTACAAGCGAGCACCACTACTCCTGGTAGAAGAGTTTTACGAGAAGCATCCATGTGCCCATATACTGGATGTATGTGAAATAACCTTCTGCTGTAACCTCTTACAGAGAGGCAGGGAGCCTGTCCTGGTGCTTTTGAACACCTGCGTTGTTATGGACAGCCCAGCCTGAAGCTGGAGTGCCTCCCCTTATCTGCTGGTGCTGACTGCATATACTGGCAGGAAAAAAGCTTACAGCACTAAGAAAGATCTCAGAGTCTAGCAGAGATCAGAGATCAGTTCTGGGACAGAGACTCAATCACATACAGCTCAAGAGTTCTGCGTTCACTGATAAATGTAGTATATTCCCAATAAAAAGACAAACAGGTGTTCCCTCCCCCATCAGGGCCTCACCCTAGAAGTGAACACAAGAATTCTAATGTCCATTGGTAACTCATACACAAACAAGACAATCAAGAAAACTCTGGGCCAGGTGTGGTGGTGCACACCTGTAATCCCAGCACTCAGGAGGCTGAGGCAGGAGGATCATTGCAAGTTCGAGACCAGCCAGGGCTACAAAGTGAGCTCAGGGACAGCCTGAACTGCATAGTGAGACCCTGTCTCAAAAAGACAAAAAAAGAAAACTCTGAAAAAGAGCATCCAATGGGGACCAGTTCTATCATTCTTTTTTTTTTTCCCCCCGGTACCAGGAATCGAACTCATGACCTTTCACTTGCCAGGCAGGCGCTGTGCCGCTGAGCTAAATCCCCAGCCCCCAGTTCTATCATTCTTAAGATGCTATCTTCAGTTTGTTACACAGCTGTAACAGGCTTCCTCTGTCCAGACAAATAGGGTGCATGCCTTCAATTGGACTGGAGTGACAAAAAGGGAAACACTAGCAACCAACCGACATACACAGACCCACCAACCACAGACATGCACTTGGAGATGTACTAAGGGGCCTTACTAATAGAAGTTTCAAAAAACTTAAAAAGATCCAAGTCATACGAAATATGTTCTATGCAGGGCCAAGGATATAGCTAAGTGGCACAATGCCTGCCTGGCAAGCACAAGGTCCTGAGTTTGATTGCCAGTACGAAAAAAAAAAGTTCTATGCCTTCAGTGGAATTATATTAGAAAACAAGAGCAAAATGTTATCTGGAAAATTCTGAGGAACATACTAACTCCATGGAGCCACAAGGAAATGAGAGGGAAAATTAGAAAATATTTTGAACTGAATTGAAATGAAAACAGTGTACTGCCAGGTATGGCACACACCTGTAATCCCATACTCGGGAGGCTGAGGCAGGAGGATCTTTGTGAGTTCAAGGCCAGCCTAAACTGCATAGTGAGACCCTGTCTCAAAAAGA